GCAGAAAAGTCATTCTCGCCACTCATAATCCAGTTTTCAAAACAGTTAGGGAATTTTTTACAACACAGCGTAACCTGTGCAAAAGATGCTCCAATGATCAAAATCTTTTTTACTTTTGTTGAAACATGAATGGTCAATCAAGCACATCAACTCTGGTAAATGAATAAAAACCATTCACTGACCTTTAAAGACTGAGTCAATAAAATGTTTGTTTGGTTTTTGTTTTTTTTTTGTCAAAACCATACTGACTTTGGAAAGAGTTCTGCAGAAATGAAGGCCGATGTAGAGTGCTTTGTTTTCAGCAAAAAAGAAATGGAAAGGATTTATTTGAAACTTTACAAAACTGATGAAATGGAGAAAAGCAAAATACGAAAACAGACAAAGAGAGTATGTACAATCTGAGAACATAGCAGCAGATGTTGAGAACTGAGTTAAACCTCAGTTTAACTAAGCATCAGAATAAGGAAGAACGATAATTATTTATGGCGTGGATTTTGATGTCAGCTTGTGTGAATATTTCAGACACTGTAGATGTACTTTCCCACACAATCCCCTGCAGGGTTTACAGGGAATGGGCTGATATGAGAAAACATCTAGTGAGCGACAGTTGTCTGGGTGAAAACACTTTGTTGATATCAGAGGAGAATGGCCAGATTACTTCGAGCTCTTGGGAAGGAAACAGTAACTCAAAAAAACCCCACTCACTCAGAAGAGCATCTCTGGGAGCCACACCTGTCAGTTAAGAACAGGAAACTGAGGCATTCTTAGTACATACTAGAAAGGGAAATTTAGATGAGCAACTGTGACACAAGACTGAAAGTATGTATTTTCATTTGTTGTAAGTAAAATAGTTCTTGTAATTTTGCAGTAACTTGATTGAAAACACTAATGCAATGCTGGACAGTATTCAAGAAAGTGACAGACCTAGAGTTGTAAACAACAAAAGTACAAACTGCTTTGATGAGCTGTCAGACTCAAATGAGAAGTGCATCAACGCAGTAATAAATATCATTAGTATTGAAGTATGTGTAGAAACAATGACAACACTGCTTTGACTTTTCTGCTGTGAGAACTGAGCCAAAGCGATTGAGAAAAACTGTACAGAAAGTGAGAGAAAGTACCACAAGCTTAATTAAAACACAAATTCAGTCATTTAAAAACATGATGGGGGAATTTAGATATAACTGATAACAGAACCCACAAGTAAGTCATTGGTGAATTTTTGCAAATACTAAGAAAAGATGTTTATGTGGGGTTTTTTGTTACCTCCTTTAGCAGAGGATAAATTAATTCATTTAATTAATTTAAATGTTGCATTTTACTGTTATCCTTTTATATCCTATATAGATTTTAACTAACATGTGATGATCTGATGACATCTCTAATCGGAGTAGGTGTCACATAGAGATCATTTTGTGTGGAAAATAAGTCAAAAGATGCATGAAATCCCCCATTTTTCTGTGAGCACACACAGAGCCTGATGCAGAAAGCCCTGATTAACAAAGAAAGTTGATATCAATCATCATGCGGCCCATTATTCCCAGCTGGTGTTTTGTGATTTGTCATGCCAGCTTATGCAAGGGAAAAAAACAACAACAAAAATCATGGCTGTGTTCAGTTTGATTCCTAGTATACACCTTTGGGCTACTTATGAGTTTGTGTGTTTAGTTTTTGGATTTACTTTGGATAACGTTTCTGAGAACTGTGACTCAGTCAAAATAAAGACTTGCCTTCTGTGTAATAAGTCTTCCTCCAGAGTCAGTTTGTAATATGTCATGGAAGTTAATGCATGCAACATATATAAATGTATACTTATCTACTAGCAAATAAACATGACTGAACAAGAACATTGTAACCACAATCACACTGCTATAATTCAGTGATAATTTATGTATATTGAACCAAAGCATTTCTATTCCCCTTGAATCAGAACCTTTCTAATATATATATATATATATATATATAGAGACAGATAGATATATATATATAGATAGATATATATATATATATATATATATAAATTTTTAATCATCAAAAAATAAAGGAAAATTTGAATAGTTTTTGAATAGTTGTCATAGGAGTCAATGCTACCCTGTGGAGCCCCACAAGTGACCTCAGCTGTGTGTTAGAAGATATAAGTGTATCATAGCATGTACATTACAGTATATTATTCACTCACCCATCCAAAATCACTGAATTCAGGTGTTTCGATCACTTCCATGGTCACCAGTGTATAAAATAATAATAATAATAATAATACATTTTATTTATGAGCGGCTTTCAAGTCACCCAAGGACACTTTACAATAGGATAAAACACTTAGTAAAACAATGGCAGAATAAGAACAATAAAATAAAGCACAAGATAAAATGAACAAACAGTGGATTCACAGTGAATATGCAGATTTGAACAGATGAGTTTTGAGTTGGGATTTAAACTGGGGGAGAGAACCAATATTTCTTATTTCAGGGGGCAGAGAGTTCCACAGCCTGGGAGCAGAGCAGCTGAAAGCTCTGCTTCCCATGGTGGTGAGGCGGAAGGAAGGTACAGTAAGCTGGACAGAAGAAAAAGAACGAAGTGAATGGGCAGAACAAGTGGTGGTTAACAGGTCAGAAAGGTAAGAAGGAGCGAGGTTATGAATGGCCTTGAAGGTGAGCAGAAAAAGTTTGAAAATTATCCGGAATTTCACAGGGAGCCAGTGAAGTTCCTGAAGAACAGGGGTGATGTGCTGGTAAGAGGGGGTTCTGGTGATAATGCGAGCAGCAGAGTTCTGAACCAGTTGAAGCTTATGGAGGGATTTTTGGGGGAGGCCATGCAGAAGAGAATTGCAGTAGTCAATACGGGAGGTAACAAAACTATGTACAAGAATGGACGTAGACTGGGTGGAAAGAGAAGGAAGCAATCTGTTAATGTTACGTAGATGGAAGTAGGCAGAACGGGTGAGGTTATTGATGTGTGATTTATAAGAAAGTGTACTGTCTAGGATGACACCAAGGCTCTTAACCTGAGGAGAAGGGAAAACTGTGGAGTTATCGATGGTAAGTGAGAAATGGTTTGCCTTCAAAAGGTTGGATTTGGTGCCAATAAGGAGGATCTCAGTTTTATCCTCATTGAGCTTTAGAAAATTAGAGGTAAACCAGGATTTTAACTCGGATAGACATTCTGTAAGGGAAGAAGGTGGGAGGGAGGAATCAGGTTTGCAAGAGAGATATAACTGGGTGTCATCAGCAAAACAATGAAACTGAAGATCAAATTTGCGGAAGATGGTACCTAGAGGGAGGATGTATATTATAAAGAGAAGAGGACCTAAAACTGAGCCTTGGGGTACACCAGAGGTGACGGGGAATAGGCGAGAGCAGAATGATCTTAGTTGAATAAACTGGGAACGGTCGAGGAGATATGATTGAAACCACACGAGGGGTGTGTCAGAGATGCCGAGAGAGGAAAGTCTGCTTAGAAGGACAGAGTGAGAAATGGTGTCAAAGGCAGAGCTCAGATCTAAAAGGACGAGAATGGTGAGAAGACCAGAGTCAGCTCCGATTAAGAGATCGTTAGTGACTTTAAGTAGAGCAGTTTCGGTACTGTGACATGAGCGAAAACCAGATTGAAATCTCTCATAGATGTTATTATTAACCAGGTGTAAATGAAGTTGAGCTGCAACCACTTTTTCGAGTATCTTAGAAATAAAGGGTAGATTGGAGGTTGTTAAAGTTGTTAGGATCTAAAGAAGGTTTTTTCAGTATAGGAGTGACTAGAGCAGTCTTCAATAAGGAGGGAACGATACCGGTGGTGAGAGAAGAGTGAATGATAGCACAGATGAGTGGGAGTAAAGAAGAGAGGCAGGATTTCACAAGCCCCGTGGGCATGGGGTCAAGATGAATGAAAATGAAAGATTACAAAGATTACAGGCTACTACAAACATAATGGGTCACTCTCAGGAGTTCCAGCTTGATGAGATGCCACTCGTACAACAAATTCAGTTCTAAAATTTCCTTCTACTACTCTACGGTCAAGTGATTGGGAACAATAGCAACTTTTTTGTTTTGTCAGAAGCTCAAACTGGCTTAAAATAGAATAGAGTGAGTTAACAATCCTGGGGTTTCTGTAAACATAAAGAAAATCAAGAATAAACAGTCCTGGTTGAAAATGTTACTTTGAAAAATCTGCTTTAAATTCAGCTTCCATAAAAAAAGATATAGCATTGTTTTAAAAATACGACTTAATGTTCAGTGATTGTCCTTACAATAATGCTGGTTTAAAAAAAGATGCACTTTTTAATTAAAGTAGTGAATCATAAAAATGATATTTGTCAATCAGTTATGTCACCATATCTGTTATGGTCTTCTGTCTGCCTTCATACAGTCACAGTTAACTTGTTTTTGTAAATTATTATTATTATTATTATTATCATTATTATTATTATTATTATTATTATTTATATGCATAAAACTGGATGAATACATCTTAATTCGTTATATTAAAAATAAATTATGTGATATATATACATTTACAGTCTCTCTCTTTTCGCTATGACAAAACATCACAAAAAACAATGAACAGAATTGCCACAATATTTTAAACAGATGCACATTTTGGTATAAACTGTACTCGTTAATTCCTGTCCTGATTCACAGTCACAAAAAACTGGAGAGGACAGAATGTCGCCTGTCAGGCTCCTAAGGTTCTGAATCAGTCCAAAATCGAAAAGTTCATTAGCTTTTATTGAGCTTAGATTGTTGATTTTTTTTTAATAAATAAAAAAATAAGATATATTAATCTAATGTTCTGCCCTATAATAATTATATTGTCCAAGTTACAGAAAATGGAAATAAAAGTAAAGTATCTACATATTTGTACTAACAACAACAGGATTACAACGTGAATTTTTGTTATAAATTTAACGACAGTAGTCCGTTTTTATTATTTATTTATTTATTTATTGGGTTGAAATTGTAGGTGAAAACATCAGTGGCGCATGCGCACCTGCTCTTCTCCGCCTGTCTTCTCTCCTGACAGACCGCAAATGACCTCAGTCTCCGCAATATCACACAACTTAGACTGGAGCGCTCAATAAACGGCATACCGGGAGCGATGGCCGGGATGTTCGGGAAGATATTCGTTGGCATTTATGTGGAGATAAAACGGAGCGACGGTACGTAGCATGCTCCGCTCACACATGCACATTCAGACACACCGCTCTCCATCCGGCCGGTCCGCATGAGAGCAGCTAACGTTACCGCTCAACGCAGCCGGGTGTTTTTGCTAGCTAGCAGGCTGCTACACTGTCATTCACAGGAATGTCGCAGTAAAAGGTCGGCGAGCGAAATGTCAGAGACTCAAAAATGACACAAATAGTCTTTGACACGGTGCTGCTGTCAGTGATGCAGACATACGGCAATGGGTCGACCTGACTGCAGGGCTGCGGGCGGGTCCGTCCACCTGCTGTCCGGTTGACACCTACCCTGCCGCCCTCCCTCTCCTTCCTCCCGTCCATTGCTTCATGGCCGAAACACCTCCGGTTAGAGGACGGGATGCAGGCACAAGTCTGCACTGCATCATGCACCATGCAGCGGTGGCCTGTTAACCAGGGCTGATGGATGGCTGATGGGGGCCTTTCATCTCCAACTGTATTTCATCTCAGTAAAAAAATCGCACGACTTTCAAACTGCTCTGTGTATTTTAATATTTGTCTGATGGCTAAGAACCCGGTCAACAGTCACTACACGCAGCGCTTGCAGTGGTGTGATTGACAGTCTCAACATCATCCTTCATCAGCCACACCCATTTAGCATATCAGCATCCTTATTTTAGGGTTTAAGTTTTCCCTGTAAACACTGAATGACTGATGGATCAGTTTATTTGTTGTAAGATAATGCACAAAATATCCTCAGGCCTAATTACTGAACATTAGCTTTATGGCTCATAAGTTGGTGTCTGTATGAGCAATGGCTCTACAGTCTGGTCCAGCACTGCGCAGGCCTAGCATCCATCTGTATCCTCTCTGCAGGACGAATACACCAGGCGATGGTCACATCACTGCATGAAGACAATGAGAGTGTGACAGTGGAATGGATTGAGAACGGAGACACCAAAGGGAAAGAGGTACATCTACCTCTGCACTCGGTTTCATTCATTATGTCCTGAAATGTAGTGATTTGTAATTTGTAATTCTCTTCCTGAATTGTTGTCAGGAATTAACTTTCAAATATGGCACCTGTCTGTAGTTTTATTTGTGTTGCTGATGAAGTGACTAAAAAGTGATTGTCTGCCAAAAAATGATAGCTGGTATTTAAACTGTTGTAAATGAGTTGCTGGCCTATAACCTGTGAAACATATCTTAATAATATCAAAGCATTTTGAGCCAGAAACAATAACCCTGTCAGACATCAGATGCTGCAATCAGTTTTGTCAAAGTGACTTTTATATACGCGTTATTTATCAAGGTAAAAACTCTTATTCATATTAAAAATGGCTTTTTAAGAGGGATCTGGCCAAAAGAGAGGCAGAAATTGCAACAAACATGACATAGTACTGTAAAGATGTTTTAAGTAGCCAAAAAGGACTGGATTGATCGTAATAAAAAACAAGGAGCAGATACAATATTACAGAGTCATGAAGATACTTGCAAAATAGGTAATTTCTTTATTTTATACATAACAGCTTAGTGAATCCTGACCACACAATATTTATCAGTATATGTTAGAGATGAAAAACACAAAGAAACACTGGAAATCACTTTTTGGAACACCTGAAAGCAATGAAATAGACATGAGTATCTTATTACTTGCTTTATCCTGGACATGTTGTAATGCTGTTGTAACATATAACATATTGCTGTACCCGATGCAGTGCACTACAAGTATCTCAAGTGTATAAGCATAAAATGCTTAAAAAAGATAGAAGTAGACACCGTCACATGACCCATAGTTTAATAAAGTCCTCATGTCAAAAGGTGAGCTTTTTTTTGGGAATTGTAATGTTGATGTTTTGAAACCAGATGTGATAAGTAAGGTTTACCAAAACTAGGAAAGACTGGAAGATTTAGCAATACTACATTCACAAAAACAATGTAGGTTTGCTTTAAGACAAAACCTGCTTTATTGTTCATTTTAGAATCTAATTAGGACCATAATTTCATGTATGTGTGCAATAAGACCTGAAACTCATAGGCCATTTTCCCATAGGCTTCTATGCAATCAAACTTCTTTTTAAAAAGCTAAAGAATGTCCTCCTGCTGGCAACCAGAAAGATCGCAGATTTTAACGAGCTTTGTCATTGGCAGAATTATCTGAGCTTTTTTTTATGTTGGGTGTTCATTTGGGAGGCTAAGTTCACCTTTACATCATTACAGCCTTCTAAAAGAGTAGAAATATTGAAAAAATATTATTGATAAAAGATATTACGACAAATTAAGCAGTCACATACTGCAAAGATAAACGTTATTGATCATCTTTATTGATGTTCTCAGCAAATACAGCCCCTGTTGCACTTGATGAGGTGATCTTGAGCCCCTGCTTAAACAAAGATTGTAACGATAACAAAGGAATTTCTTTCTTTTTTCTGATTTAGATTGATCTGGAGAGCGTCTTTGCTCTGAATCCAGATGTAGCTCCTGATGAAGAGATACCACAGAGTCCCGAGGCTCCTGTTCCTCCCTCCAATGTTGCCAAAACCAGCAAAGTACCCAAGGTCTGCTTCTCAACACCAGACATCATTAATCAATCACTCCTATTTGCACATGACCTTTTAACAGAATATTACTATTATTCCTGATTTGAAGAGATTATGCTGTATTTATTGCTATAACATATAATTCAGTTTAGGCATTTTTCCTTGCATACTTTGTGTACTCCCTTCTTTCATTCTTAATTCAACTCTAATGATTATGGTCTTTATAGACCAGACGGACTACAGCAATACCCAAGGCTGAAAATACCCCACGGGAGAACAGAGGTATGTTCTCCCACTAACAGCTCTGAGATATGAAGCTTATAATTTAATCATTTTCTACTTCGATACAGTTGGTGCTGCCCGATCATGTTAAAAAAAAAAAGAGTTTATGGGAAGCAGAGTGAGTGAGGGTTATTTTCTCGGAAATTACTGTAGAACAGTTTCACTACAACTTCTTTAACTCACCTTAAAGTCAGTTTTTAAGGTGAGTTAAAGTTTTCCCAATACAAGAATTAGTCCAAGTGATTAATAACTGTAAAAGTCAAAGATAGAAATTTGTATACAACAGGGTTTTGTAAGAATGTAATAATGACTCCCAGTGTGCATTTAGGAAGAAACATCCAATAAGTGTGCTGAAATTTCTTTCTTATGAATGTTTAACTGAATTGACAAGAAAAAAAATCAGTGTTAAATATTTAAAATTGTAATATTTTGTTAGAATTAAAGAGTCATGTTTGGTTGTATTTACTCTTCTAATGATAAAATCCCCTGCTTCACGAGTCTGTCAGTTATGACAAAATGAATGGTTAAGTTTGTGCAGTCGGTTTGAAGCAGTCAGCATAGAAACACTGGCATGAACAAACCTCACAGAAAATCTAAGAGGGTCACTGTGAACACTTCTCCTGAGAATTTGGGTTTAACTTTGTATAATTTGGGTGAACTGCCTTTTTAATGTTTTGAGATGAGCAGTTACACTGGATTGTGTGCTCCTCAGCTGCCTCAGTGGGAACAACCCGGGCACGTCCCAGTCAGCACAGCCAAGCTGCGGAGCCACCCCCACCAACCATCGTTCCCCAGCCTGCCGTAAACCAGTCCCTGATACAGCAGCAGAACGGTAACACAGTCACCCCGTCTGCAAACTTCATATGAGAGAGGATTCATGTCCACATGGCTCTGTTTGAAATTCTCTGGAGGGAGTTTCCAGCATCTCTATTGTTGTTCTCTGTAGCAGTGATGTCATGCTCCCACACAGCTGTGTGTCTAAGGGTGTCAAAGGCTCTTTCACTCGCTGTGGCTTCATACTGCAGCACTTGTTTAAGTTTTTCCTCTGCTGTTGTTTGAATGACCATAAATATGTAAATAAGATCAGGCCTTCAAATAGCACTCAAAACATAACATTTGAAAAAAGAAATACTGTAAATAAAAAGCCATATTCAGTGTAATTTTTTTTAAAAATCAGCTAAATCTAGCAAGTTTTTTGTAGACCTGCCCACCGGGCTATGTGCATACACTGAAAGCAAGAGCAGAACGGAGCCGACATCATGACACAGATGAACTCAGACACAGAATGACAAATGGAGCTTGGCAAGATATGGGCTGAGGGACTGAATCAATCAAATCACTGCCATGTGTTTTAGGAATACTCCAGGACTTTTAACACGTTTAAAATAATGCTGGTTGCCAATTAAAAAAACACCCAGGTTAGGGGGCATTCACAATTATCAACAAATTATTTTTTACAACTTATGAGTTGGCTAAATGGATGTAGTCTTTATAATATAAAGTTTTAGATATTGTACATTTTACACTTGATTATTGAGAATGACTGATTTAAGGTGATGCATGCATGATGCATCTGTATAGTAGAAAAACTGACTTTTAATTCAAGATTTGAAAGTGGGACATATAATAAAAGTTGAACAAGATTAATTAAATTTATGAAACCATTTAGATTTTAGGTAAATGTACAAAGCGTAGTGTAACTACTCAGCTACACAGTTCTTTTGATTTATTTCTTTTTTTTTCCCCTTTTGTTGTATGAAGTGTTTTGTCGATGTGGTGGCCAGATGACTGAGTAGGAGCATCAGCAAAGCTGCAGCTCTTGTTTTGTGTGTGTAAAAGTAAATGTAAGGCATTATGAGTCAGCATCATCAAAAATAATTGTTAATGTATCAGAGGGAATAGTCCCTGTTACTTCAGCCTGTAACCATATGTATATATATTTTGATGCTGATATTTTAGGCCACTGTGCTCCTTGTTTTTTCAGCACGGAGGAAATCTAACTGTGTGAAGGAGGTGGAGAAACTGCAGGAGAAAAGAGAGAAGAGACGTCTTCAGCAACAAGAGCTCAGAGAGAAGAGGGCACAAGTGAGAACTCAAGCATACACTACAGTACTTTACATTATACACACATCAACAAACACATTACCACAGTGTGAAGTGGAGAACCATTTGTTTGAGAATTATCTCTAGATATGAAGCTGATTTATAGCATACCTGCCAACACATGTTCCCAGGGTTTTTAAGACATCTCCTGGAGGCCACCTGTTTTACTATTTGTACTGTAACACTTCCAAAATTTGCAAAAATGCAAAATGTCTACTGTCTTCACTTTTTCATCTAAATAACTTCAAAGTTCAGTATTTGAGCCAACCCCACCACTCTAACAAACAAAAGTCCCAGATTTTCAAACCTAAATGCTGAAAGTTCTGGTTTATAGTCATAACTATAAGACATGGATAATAATGCTGCCTCTCACACAACAGGAGTTTTACCCACTATACTGTTGTACTGTGTCTCTTTATAAAAAAAAAAGGTCAACAGAATTATGCACAAACAACTAGACTCTGTACTGTTAACCCAAGATTAAATATACTGTATATATTTTTGCTTGAATATTTTGACCTTAATGCATGTGGATGTGTGGACTGAGCTTTTTTCTGTGCTTATTTCTATTGTGTGTGTCTGCTGTAGTCTTTCACAGTGTGCTGGTAATGTTCCAGATTTGCAGTAGCAAATTATTGAAACTATAATGCATGCCATTAATCAGGTTTTTTAAATATAACCTCATGTTAAATAAGCAAAACTGTGACAATGTGAGTGAAATGAAAAAGAAAAAAACATGGATAATTATACTCCAAAAAAACAAAGCAAAAGAAACATTACTCATCAAGTCATATTAACTGAAACTGTGAGAAGATTTAATAAGCACTGTTTTAATTAATCAGTCAGCTCATGTAGCATTTAATAAAAACGTTTAAATTCTGAAAACAGCTGAAACAACACAAACTTTTAAAGGAATCAGATGCTTCAGTTTTTTTCTTTTGATTATTGCAGCTGTGTTCGGTTCACAGTGTTCTGAGCAGGTGGCCCTAGAGTTAAAACATATAGTTAGTTGGAACTAAAAATCAAAACGTGATCTACCAAACCCATTTTAGAGAGCACTGTCTGGATACAAAAAGTATTCTCAGGCTGAAAGTAGCTTCTAATCGGCTGATTTAGACAAAAGACTTAAAAGTACGTGACGTGTCACTCAAAATGTTAGGATGTTGATTTTGAATTAATTAATTCACGAATAATTGAAATGCTTCCTGAATGTTTTTATTGTCTTTGTCATTATGTGATCAATACTTTTGTTTTCTGTGCCACTGCAGGAGGTGGACGTTAATTTACCAAACTATGAGATTATGTGTATGATCAGAGACTTCAGAGCCAGTCTGGACTACAGACCTTTAACCACAAACGATCTGGTGAGTCCAATTTAGATCTGCTGGTCAGAAGGAGTCAGTAGAGAGAGAGGTACCTGAGAATGTTGGAAGAAAGGAGAAACGAGGAGGTCATATGGCCAGTACAAAGGTGTGAACCGCACTATTTATTCATGTCTTCTCATGTTTCAGATTGAGGAGCACAGGATATGCGTGTGCGTTCGTGCACGTCCCCTCAACAAAAAAGGTAAGAGCATATTTATGTAGCAGCTGTATTCAGAGAAACTGTGAAGCCTGTGTTCAAGCTCAGACAGCTAATCAAAGTAGTTTAGAATTGGAGAGATGACCCCTGTGAGGAGGTGGAAAGCCTCCCTAAAAGTTTTTTATTGTTTACATCCACTATATCAATCAGATCTGCCTGATTTTGGACACTCATGGATAGGGATGGGTATCGTTTAGGTTTAATCCGATACCGGTGCCAAACCGGTACTTTTTAAACGGTGCCAGTGCTTAAACGGTGCTCGAACCGGTGCTCGAACCGGTGCTTAAAGAATGAAGAACACAAACTTTGTCCAAAAACCTCTCATGTTCAGCTGTTTTTTTGTAAAAAGATAACAATGTTAGTCTTCTCTGCAGCTATGTGGCATATATGGCATCACTCTTGGCTGGAAGCAGTGCTTAAACAATGGAAAAACACAAACTTTGTCCTAAAACCTCTCAGCTGTTTTCCACTTTTTCTTTGGGCATTTTAGCCTTTTTGGCCAGGGTGAAGGGAGCATCTGCCGTCAGACAAGAAGACAGCCGCATGTAACTACGACGGTGTTTGCTAGTTCACCTTACGTGCATTAATGGTGGTTAGTCTACTCAACGTAAATTACACACGAACAACATTAAGCTACTCACGCAGAGAAGAACAGCTGCTGCTGCCGTCATCATCCGTCATCATTTCTGCTACACTGGCAGGGCTAGGGGCCAGGACTCTATTCTTCGGGTTCATGTTGCTAACTCCTGGTCCGATAACAGGCACCACACCCGCAGTAGATGTGCACGGTGTGAGGTCTTGCAGCAAGCTATCAAATACGGCGCATTTCTAGACTTTTAAAAAAACGCTATGGGTCGCCAGGCGTTTCATCAGATTCGAGGTGTTACCTCCTTTGCACAGTATCACCTTAAAGCACTTGTTGCAGGCTGCTGGGTTTGCATCTTTTGCTGTGAAGTACAGCCAGACTTTTGACCACTTCGCCTTGGGCGTTTTTAATCTGTAGCTCTGCTCTAAAAGAACGTACGTACCTGGACCCGCCTACTATCCTTGGAAAGGTAAAATGATTGGCTAGAATCCAAAGTGTATGACATCTCAGGGAAATAAAGCACCGAAATGTGCGCTGCTTTTCGGTCTGGTTACTACCGTTTATGTCAGAACCGGTGCCATCATGGCACCGGATACCGGTACCCATCCCTACTCATGGGTCATTTCTTCTGTTGTGGTGCCAATTGTGTCCATTTTAAATATTATTTCTAAAAATCTCTGAATGTCGATTAATTAAAAACAAGTAACAGGGATGTCTATAGACTGCTGCTTGTCCTTGCCCTTGTACATCATTGTAGCCTGTGTCTATAACAATGACTGTGTCTCTTCAGAGTTATCAACAAAGGATCTGGATGTGATCACCATTCCCAGTAAGGACGTTGTAATGGTCCATGAGCCCAAGCAGAAAGTTGACTTGACCCGCTACCTGGAGAACCAGACCTTCCGATTTGACTATGCCTTTGATGAGAACTCCACCAATGAAATGGTTTACAGGTACACTGTTTTTTCTTTTTTCTTCATGCTGTAGCACTTGAGTCAAATATTCTGCTGCCAATAAACACTCCACCCTGCAGGTTCACTGCTCAGCCGCTGGTTGAGACCATTTTTGAGAGGGGAATGGCGACGTGCTTTGCATACGGACAAACTGGAAGTGGAAAAACACATGTGAGTTTTTGACTTTGATTTGAGAAGTTTGGTTTTAGTGTCATAAAACCAAACTTCTCAAATTCTAACTCATGTCTCCTTTTAGACAATGGGAGGGGACTTCTCAGGAAAGAACCAGGACTGCTCCAAAGGGATCTATGCACTGTCTGGTTAGTTTCTGCTTTACTGATTATTATTATTATCATTATTATTGCTGGTCTCTCTCATTTAGGTGTGTCCTTCTCTCCCTGCAGCCAGAGACGTTTTTCTCATGTTAAAGAAGCCAAATTATAAGAAGCTGGACCTGCAAGTTTTTGCCACATTTTTTGAAATTTACAGTGGGAAGGTAAGTGTGTTATCATCACTGATCAGTTAAGCTGTATGTTAATATATAATAAAAAAAAGGTTAAATAATTGATGAATAGAGTCATGATGAAGGATGAGACATTTACTTCAATTTACTTCAAAAATACCACATATTTATATTTAACTGTTTATGCCAATGTGCTTGATTCTCTGTAGCAGACGGGTACCTCAGTCACTGGAAAACAAATTGTTATGTTTATAACTTCTGTTCCCTGAACATATATAATGTCGGCCGCACTTGCACATACACACCCCTGTCATCACAGTCAGTCTGATAGCTGCTCTTCACCAAGCCCAGCTGCACAACAGAGCAAGCTAGTGTTTTACCTCATTCCTCTTCTCCAGGCAATAGAAGTATTAAACATAACACTTTGTTCCCTTTCAGTCGGTTCATTCAGAACAACACAAATAGCATGGAACACTGGCATTCACCAGGTGGAACATACTCTCAGTTGTGGTCTTGTTTTGCCTCCTGAGGCACCTTTGGTGCTCCATGCCAGGGAGATAGGCTCCATAATCGAGTGGGAGAGCTTATAACTTATACTGCACTTCTTGGGCAGCAACAGAGGAACTTCAGGATCTCCCTCCTCCTCACATGCAAACGTGAGCCCCTCTCCACACCCTGTGGAGGCTCATGAGTGGGCCTTTGCTCTAAGGCGACTAACATGGAACTTGACCTGAAGTAGGCACCGCTTTCTTGGCAGGGAGCAGATGAACTGTGAACCTGTAAGAGCTAGGTGCAAGCTTGGGATTCATATCACATCTGGGCATGATATCGCACGTTATTTGTATTATTTGTCAGCAGTGAGGGATTGAAATTAAATGGTGCTACTTCAGGAGGAAGTATGCTGTAAATGTTAATATTATGACAAGAATGACTTCAAATGATAAAGACAGGTAGTCCAGAAAAGTTTTTTTAAGGACCGGCTCTGATTAAAATTAGCTGTAATGAGAATTGCTCTAGGAAAGGAGGTTCATGTGCCTTGACCAGATACCAGCAGCTCAGATCAGGGACCATGTTAAACACATCTCAGCATAAGTGACTGGTGGTAAATCATGTGAATGATTCTCATGGTAGAAGTGCTGCTAGGAAAATACTACATGGGGTAAGAACCATCAGCACAAGTAATGGAAATTAAATCAGGAGAAATTTGCCAGAGTCCAGTCCTCTGTCTTTGTGAAGCTGAGAAAAGGTTAAACTGCTAACGCTACTGTTGAGCATATTTGTGTTTGAAGGTGTTTGACCTGTTAAACCGTAAAGCCAAGTTACGGGTGCTGGAGGACGGGAAGCAGCAGGTGCAGGTGGTGGGCCTGCAGGAGAGGGAGGTGAAATGCACAGAAGACGTCCTCAAACTCATCGAAGTGGGAAACAGCTGCAGGTAAACGTGATTTTTTTTTTTCACATATGGATATGTGAAAACACTAAACAGTAACAAGATTTGAGTTGGAGAACCGCTGAATGAACCCCCTGAACACCCCCCACCATGCCTCTTGCAGGACGTCTGGGCAGACATCGGCCAACGCTCACTCCTCCCGGAGTCACGCTGTTTTCCAGATCATCCTGCGTCGGCGGGGGAAGATGCATGGAAAGTTCTCTCTTATCGACCTGGCGGGGAATGAGAGAGGGGCAGACACGTCCAGCGCTGACCGGCAGACTCGCCTCGAGGGAGCAGAGATCAACAAGAGTCTGCTGGCACTCAAGGTCTTCGCTTTAGTACTACAGATATTCTGTTCTTTAGTGTTGTGCTTCTCATATAGTTGTGATTTCAGAAGTTTACGTACACTCATTTTGGGTATTAATGTCATTTTCATTTTAAAGATTTCTTTGAACTGTTTATTTTCCAGGGTGAAATGATTGCACACCATACCTTTGCTAAAAAAAAAGAATTATACTTTGTAGAACAACAGAAAAGTCCTAGTGAAGGTTTTCATTTTTTCAAGTCCTGGAGCACATGAATGTCCTGCAAATCTAATTAACATTGACATGAGCAGTTTTGATGGTAAAGGAAGGCAGGTATAACAGTGAAAAAGCAAGCAGCAGAGGTGTTAGTGAAGGTGGATGAGTTAAAATACTCGGGGTTAACCATGCAAAGTGACAGTACAGAATTCAATTCAATTTTATTTATATAGCGCCAAATCACAACAAAAGTCGCCTCAAGGCGCTTCATAGATACAGAGAAAAACCCAACAATCATATGACCCCCTATGAGCAAGCACTTTGGCGACAGTGGGAAGGAAAAACTCCCTTTTAACAGGAAGAAACCTCCAGCAGAACCAGGCTCAGGGAGGGGCGGCCATCTGCTGCGACCGGTTGGGGTGAGAGAAGGAAGACAGGATAAAAGACATGCTGTGGAAGAGAGACAGAGGTTAATAACAGATATGATTCAATGCAGAGAGGTCTATTAACACATAGTGAGTGAGAAAGGTGACTGGAAAGGAAAAACTCAATGCATCATGGGAATCCCCCGGCAGCCTATGTCTATTGCAGCATAGCTAAGGGAGGATTCAGGGTCACCTGGCCCAGCCCTAACTATATGCTTTAGCAAAAAGGAAAGTTCTAAGCCTAATCTTAAAAGTAGAGATAGTGTCTGTCTCCTGAATCCAAACTGGAAGCTGGTTCCACAGAAGAGGGGCCTGAAAACTGAAGGCTCTCTCTCCCATTCTACTTTTAAATACTCTAGGAACAACAAGTAGGCCTGCAGAGCAAGAGCAAAGTGCTCTAATAGGGTGATATGGTACTACAAGGTCATTAAGATAAGATGGGGCCTGATTATTTAAGACCTTGTATGTGAGGAGCAGGATTTTGAATTCAATTCTGGATTTAACCGGAAGCCAATGAAGGGAAGCCAAAACAGGAGAAATCTGCTCTCTCTTTCTAGTCCCTGTCAGGACTCTTGCTGCAGCATTTTGGATTAACTGAAGGCTTTTCAGTGAGTTTTTTGGACATCCTGATAATAATGAATTACAGTCGTCCAGCCTGGAAGTAATAAATGCATGAACTAGTTTTTCAGCGTCACTCTGAGACAGGATATTTCTAATTTTAGAGATGTTGTGCAAATGGAAGAACGCAGTCTTACATATTTGTTTAATATGTGCGTTGAAGGACATATCCTGGTCAAAAATGACTCCAAGGTTCCTCACAGTGTTACTGGAGGCCAAGGTAATGCCATCCAGAGAAAGAATCTGCTTAGATACCATATTTCTAAGCTTTTCAGGGCCGAGTACAATAACCTCAGTTTTATCTGAATTAAGAAGCAGAAAGTTAGCGGCCATCCAGGTCTTTATGTCTTTAAGACATTCCTGCAGTTTAACTAATTGGTGTGTGTTATCTGGCTTCATGGACAGATAGAGCTGGGTGTCATCTGCATAGCAGTGAAAATGTATGCTATGCCTTCTAATAGAACAAAGAGTTCAGAATGTCCCAGAGGAAAAGCCTGCGCATGCGCTTCTTTCACCACTTAGCTCTCATGTCGACGAGGGGATGCTGCAAACAGAAAGAAAATGTTACGGATACTTTCGATTGATTTAATATTAAGACGATTAACTTGGATTCTTACACCGACTATTCCCACTCACCGATCGCTACGGAGACAGCCTGCACTCGCTTCACCTCACAAGAGAGGTGAAGCGAGTGCAGGCAAGGTGAAGTTGATGGAGACAACTGTCAGGGGTAATTTGTGACAGAAGAATAGCAGCAAGAGTGAAAGGTAAGGTGGTAGTGAGATTTGGTATGATGTATGGTTTGGACACAGTGGCACTGACAGGAGGCCAAGTTGGAGGTGGCAGAGTTGAAGATGTTAAGATCTTTGTAGGAGTAAGCAGATTGGACAGGATTTAATAAGGTGCTCTGGTTGAGCAGCTTTGAGGGGTGGGGTTTTTGGACATGTCAGAGGAGGGATAGTGGATATATGAAGCAATGGATGTGAAGACAGCAGGCAGGAGGAAAAAAGGGATCAAGAATATCTTTCAGGGGCATTTTGCTGCTGTATAATCAGAAGAACATCCATCAAGGAAAATGCAACAAATAGGCTATAGATATAAAAAAAAAGCAAAAAAACAACAACTTTAAGACAGCAAAGAAGATTCTTGGAAGATTCTACAGGAAAGGAGGAGATGGAGGCAGGCAATCTCGAGAAAACCCAGATATATTCAATTGACTTGAAACAGCAAATCATCTGAGAAAAGAAAAATAGTAAATATTTCCTAGTTCTCCTTAAAAATTATTTTCAAAAATGACTATAATTAGTTAGCCAGATTTTTTGCATAATTGGGCATGGTGTATGTTTGCAGGAGTGTATTCGAGCCCTGGGCAGAAACAAACCACACACTCCATTTAGAGCCAGCAAGTTAACCCAAGTGCTGCGGGACTCGTTCATCGGCGAAAACTCCAGAACATGCATGGTAAGAAAACAACATGTACCCACTATAGACAGACACAATAGAAAGTGATTACAGATTTGGTTGCAGTTTTGGTAAATCCCTCTCTCATCTTTTTACAGATTGCAACCATCTCTCCTGGGATGGCATCTTGTGAAAACACACTGAACACATTGAGATATGCCAACAGGTAGGAAAGATTCTACTGAAAGGCAAAAAAAGGTTTTCAGATATAACATTAAGATGAATGCACATTGAGTTATAATTTCAAATTTATACACCTTCACTTTCCACTAACTACCCTGACTTTCAGGTTTTTCAAAAGCATCAACATAAAGTTCTAAAGTGGACCTGTTATACTGATTTCAAGTTCCATAGTTTTATCTATTATACAAGATTCAACTGTCAAAAAATTCAATTCAACTTCAACTTCTCTCACTTTAAGCCAGCTTTCTTCTGATTGGCTGCCTATCACAAACAGAAGTTTGGAAAATTTGTTTATTAAGCACATTCACCATTGTAACAGTATAGAGAATTATTTAAAATTTTGTGTTTGAGGAGTTTGCATGAAACATAAAGCCAGATTTTTCTTGAAAATGTTGACTTATTGTGAGGAATATTCTTAGTTATCTGTGTGCTCCGTTTGTCTTTCTCCTCTGTTGAATGAATTCATAAAAATGTAAAATAGAAAAGACTACATAACATAACATAACATGATCCTCTCCTGCCTCCACTTGTTGATGTGTGTTTCTCTCCCCTGTCATGCATTTTTTTCCCAGAGTAAAGGAATTTGGGATAAGTCCCTCAGACATTCCCTTCTCCCAGAGTGGGGGTGGAGGAGGTCGCTCTGAGCTCTCCCCTACCTATGAGTATGATCATTTTGCTATGTCTCTTAACAGTGTCCTGCACAATTAGTTACCCCCGTATTGGCATTTCACATGAACCCAGGCAGCCGCTTTGTGTCTGTTTCTAAAAAGATCATTGAGGGTCCTAACATCATCAGTCACCATAATAATGGTGTAATCATTTTTGTAGGGTCTTTACCTTACAAGATAAAGTGCCTTGAGACAACTGTTGTTGTGATTTGGCATTATATAAATAAAACTGAATTAAATTCAGTTTAGCTGGCATGTGAACCAAGGTTAAAATGAGTTCATTCACTGTCTGCCTCACTTTACTTATTATTTACAAAGTTTTTTTTATTGCTTTAACCTCCTAAGACCCAAACTCTTCCACAGAATGCATTTTTAGTTTCTCTTTGATATTTGGGCCGATTGGGGCCCTATGAATGTAAAAACGAAGAATCACCAGATTTCTTTATTATTTTTTTTACCTTATTTTTGTTTTTAAGAAAAATAAGAACCACATATGGGGATATTTGTTTAAAATTTTGATAGAACAGTAGCTGTATAATGTCCTCGTAAGTGGATATCAGGCCCTTGTAGAGCAAAATTGAGTATTTTGGTCTAAATAACCCAAAATGTGATGTCCACATATGTGGACGCCAGGTCCTAGAAGGTTAAGTCATTCACTTTTTTTGTTAGTCTTATTTTATTTTTGTCAACAAATCCTTTTGGGAAAAAAAAAAACAATAACAATTGTACTTTTCTATGAAGTATTACATTATATAAGTATTATATATTTTGCACTTCCATCCCAAAACACTCCAGTGAGATACACTGTTGCACTGGATGACAAATTTTTTAGTTGCTGTAAAAACTAATTGTCATTTATTGTGTTTTAAACCCACATACATGTCTTCGTAGTGCAAATAATTATTCACTAAAGCAGCAGTATCAAATATAGGGCGTGGGGGCAGAAATTGGCCCAGCACAACCTTCCCTAATGGCCATTTATACTGCACCGATGTAATGACGCAACTGATAAGCTGTTAAGTGACAGAAAAGATCCTGTTCTTTCACTATCTATAGAAATTTCAATTTTTTATAAGGGGTTCACAGTAAAAAAAAAAAAAGAGGGGCATTTTCTGTCAATTAACAACACATATGACCTTCCTGTTAAAGGAGCGATCCTCAACAAAGCTGCTCATAGGGCAATGGGGTTCTCTCAGTGTTGCTGTGGGCTTTTACCTTAAAATATAAAGCATCTTCAGGAAACCGTTAATAAAACTGATCTAAAATGAAGAGTACGTTAACAATTCATTTATAAAATTATGTGCTACAATAATTTCTGGCTGGCAAAAAAAATATAAAAAAATTACACCGCATCCTGATCTTTCCATTCAGCATACCATTTGACAACTGCCTCCTCTGGGTTCTGATCTTTCTGTAAGATTTGTTGGCAAAAAGTAAAAAAGAAATCGCTACATCACCTTACCAGTATCATCCAATCTATTCAATATATTTTAGCTTTGTGTCACCTATCATGATGCATGTGCCCCACTTTGTTCCATCTCTAAATCCCAAATTCAGCAGAAGTGTAAACTTTTTGGTTTTCTTTGTTCTTTAGGCTTTTTTCATCAGTCATTTGTTGACTTGACTTGTTTTCCAGACGTGAGTTCCCAAAGCCTGCATGAAGTTCTTCGTCATCATCTTCATCTTCATGTTTCTTTCTAATAACTCACAGTATTCATCACTGATTTCTTGGCATGTTGAACCACTTGTCACCGACGCGACACGTTTGTATATTTCTCATATACAGCTACACACCATTGTAGCTCACCTCTGCAGTTGTTTGCAGTTGTCATACTGTTGGTTTACCTATAGTGCTGATGTGTTGTCAGGGTGAAGGAGCTCACAGTGGACCCTGCGGCAGCCATGATGGAGAGCCATCAGGGAGGACACATCACGCAGCTGGAGGTGCTGGAGGCTCAGTGGGGAGTGGGGAGCTCTCCACAGAGAGATGATCTGAAGCTGCTTTGTGAACAGAACGTAAGAACATCTGCTGCCCACGCACGCTACCGTGATAGAGAACATCTGAACCCACAGCAGCTCCGTGTGAAAAATATAGATGCTAGGTTTCCACAAACTGACTTCAGTTGGCTGGGAACTGCTGAGCCAGATGATAACTTGCATTATTCCACAAATGTGGCCCATAGAAAACAATAATATTCAAAATACCTCCTACCTTCTCATATCTTTACTCTAGCTCCCTGCCACATTCACAGTTCAATTCAGCACTAAGTCTGCTTGCAGGTTCTTGCACAGTTACTTTCCATATAAAACTAGTTTCAACAAAATAAACAATAGATCTTGCCTTCCTCTGCAGTCACTTTATTTTTTAACTTTTATGTCATAACCCTCATTCACATTGTGGCTGATGGTGCCTCATCTGGAAAATGGTCATGGCTGAATATTGAATAACATTAGGATTTAATAAAAGAAGTAAATGAAGTACCTGTGGGTTTTGGTACATTATTATTATTTCTTGGAATTTATCTAGCATAATTGTTTTTAGTTTAAATTTGCATATATTTCCTGCAGTTTTAAATTCATAATCACAGCACTGGCTTTGTTTATTGTAGGAGGAAGAGGTTTCCCCGCAGCTCTTCACTTTCCATGAAGCCGTCTCTCAGCTGGTAGAAATGGAGGAGCAGGTGCTAGAGGATCACAGGGCTGTTTTTCAGGTACAGTAGGCCAGAAGATTTCTGTTTTTCCATTTACAGCTAAAAATAATAGGAAATTAATAACCAATTGTAGCTAATTGCTATGCCTAGCCCCACATACCTGATTGATCATTTGTTTTGAGGCATGTTAGTATAGATACAGATTTTTTCTGAACAATGCTAAATCGTTTATTATAATGGGTAAAGCTTTAGTTTTAAAAATCTGATATCCTAAGCAACAGTTCACAGCTAGCACTGGAATTCATCTACCCTATTTTCTCAAGAGGCTTTACCTTTGCCAGACCTTCGTCCACCCAAGCTATCGAGCGTATTGGGCGACAAGGTCTCTCCATCGATTACGATTTCCAGCAAGCTCTTCACCTTTATCCCAAGCAATGCAAAGGGCTTTGAGGTCATAATGGAAGGTCCGGTGCCAGGTCAGCCATGGCCGTCCCCTGCCACAACCTCCAGGTGGAACCCATCTGAATGTTTTGTTTGGCTGTCGTCCATGCGAATGATGTGCCTGGCAAGTTTTTGACGGCAGCATGCGATAATCACGCTGAGGTGAGGACGGTTGCTTCATCGTAGCACCTACTCATTGGTGACATGATCAAAGTATCGGATCTTCATTATCCTTCAAAGGCAGCACTGGTGGAAGACGTCCACCTTCCTGGTAATACTGGCCGACGCTTTACACCTTTCAGATGCATAGATTTCCATTGGGATGATGGTTGAGGCGTACTAATGAACCTTGATGTTGATTGAGATGGAGGCAGATGACCAGATATTTCACATTTGTTGGAATACCAACGAGGCTTTGCCAGTGCGGCTCTTGAAATGAGTCTCTCAATCTCCGTCCCAGCCAATGACGCTGCCAAGGTATGCAAACCTCTCAACCACCTCGAGTTCTTGCCCACCGATCTTGATCTTAGGCATACCGGCCTGGTCGCTAATGTGCATGATTTTTGATTTTTCTGCACTGATGCAAAGTCCAACTTTTTCCAGCCAGGTTCGACGTTGGATGCTGGAGGTGGTGTCCATCTTCCACCAGTCATCTGCAAAATCAAGGTCGGTAAGTCAACTGATCCCGTCCAAGGTGATGCCTGCATCTGGCCTGACCAGGGCTTTCTTCATGATGAAGTTGAGGGCCATTAGGAACAGGAAGGGCGAGAGGATGCGTCCTTGCCTGACACCAGTCTCAATGGTGAAGAGATCGGTGTGGCCCGTGTTCATCTTGATGGAGCAGTTGGGGTGGCAGTAGAGTGACTTGAAGATTGAGATGAATTTTCGCGGGACACCGTACAGGTGGAGGATGCTCCAAAGCAAATCTCTGTGAATGCTATCAAAGGCTTTTTTGATGTCGATGAAGTTTATTGAGAGTGATCGCTCTCAATTAACACATATCATTGAACGCTAACTGTTCGATGATGTTCCTGAGGGTGAATATTTGGTCAGTGCATGATCGTCCATGTCGAAAGCCCGCCTGTTCTTCGCAGAGGCGTTGGTCGGCAGTGCCTTTAAGTTGGCAGAGTAGCATGGTGAAGAAGGCCTTTCTTTTGACAGAGAGTAGGGTGATTCCACACCAGTTTGTGTACTCCATCATGTTGCTCTCCTTTGGTAGTTTGAGGATGACGCCTTTCTGACAGTTTTTGGGGACGGCCTCCATTCACCAACATTCATTGAACAGTTTTGTGAGCACATTTGTAACAATCGGCCCTCCATATTTCAGCAATTCTGATTGGATTTCATCCATGCTGGCTGGTTTGTTTGATTTTTGAGCTTTCATCGCCAAACAGACTTCATGTTGAGATATGGTGCCTTCTTCTACTTGAAGAGCTCCCAGTTCTTCTTGTTGCTCAAAATTGTATGTGTGGGTCAGTGTTTCCCAGAAGTGTTTGACTCAACAAGCATCCTGCTTTTCTTTGGTCACCAGAAGTTTGTCATTCTTTATTCTGTTATCTGTTCAACAAAATACATAGATGTATGAAGTCCTTCCATGAAGTCCTTTGTTGATAGCTTTAACCTGTTTAAAGCTACATCGACATTCCCAGCGAGCTGAGGAAGAAAAGACAGGGGTGTCGTGCTGGGAAGGAGCGCCGTCGCCCGAGAAGGAGACGTTATCGACCATCTCTTCCTTCTGTAATTATTGGAAACGTAAGATCTTTGCCCAATAAGATGGATGAGGTCACGTCGCTAACCTGGTCACAGAGGGAGTACCGGCAATGTAGCATCATGATGCTAACGGAGCTAACTCCGGACACAAGCGTGACACTACCGGGATTCCAGCTGCTGCGAGCGGACAGGACGAGAGACAGCGGTAAGAGGAAAGGAGGGGGACTGGCAGTGTTTGTAAATGACAGATGGTGTAACCCTGAGCACATCACTGTGAAAGAACAACTCTGCAGCAGAGACATTGAGCTGTTAGCCGTTAGCATGCGTCCGTATTACCTGCCCCGGGAATTCTCGCATGTTATCGCAATAACAGCTTATGCGAGTGCCAAAGACTTCACGCCCCAAGGACCTCAACAGCTACAGGCCAGTGGCTCTGACATCCCACCTGATGAAGACCCTGGAGCGGCTGGTCCTGGCTCAGCTTTGGCACCTGGTGAGCTCATCACTGGACCCACTTCAGATTGTTTACCAGCCTGGCATTGGAGCGGATGATGCCGTCATTCACCTCCTACATCGCTCCCTCGCTCACCTGGAGACCGCTGGAAGCACTGTGAGAATCATGTTCTTTGATTTCTCCAGTGCCTTCAACACTATTCTTCCCTCGGTCCTGAAGGACAAGCTGGAGAACTCTGGAGTGGACCGTCACCTCACTACCTGGATACTGGACTACCTCACCGACCGACCACAGTATGTGAGGACTCAGGGCTGTGTGTCGGACAGGGTCGTCTGCAGTACAAGGACCCCACAGGGAATGGTTCTGGCTCCGTTCCTCTTCACCATCTACACTGCACACTTCTCCCACAACTCCACCCAGTGCTTCCTGCAGAAGTTCTCTGATGACTCTGTAGTAGTCGGCCTCATCACTGATGGGGACGACAAGGTGTACAGAGGACTGACCCAAGCCTTTGTGGACTGGTGCCAGCTGAACTACCTCCACATCAACACCAGTAAAACCAAGGAGCTGGTGGTCGACTTCCGCAGGCACAAACATCCTCCACTGCAACCACTGAACATCCAAGGTATGGACATTTAGGCTGTGGACTGCTACAGGTACCTTGGTGTTCATCTGAACAACAAACTGGACTGGACTCATAACTCAGACTACAGGAAAGGGCAGAGCAGACTGTACCTGCTGCAGAGACTCAGGTCGTTTGGAGTGGAGGGCCCACTCCTGAAGACCTTCTATGACTCTGTGGTGGCCTCAGCTATCTTTTACAGTGTGGTCTGCTGGGGTGGCAACATCTCTGCCGGGTACAGGAAGAGACTGAACAGGCTGATCGGAAGGGCCAGCTCTGTTCTAGGATGCCCTCTGGACCCAGTGGAGGTGGGAAGTGACAGGGGAATGGTGGTTAAGCTGTCATCCCTGTTGGACAACATCTCCCACACCATGCAGGAAACTCTGACAGCACTGAGCAGCTCCTTCAGTGGCAGACTGCGGCACCCACGGTGTGGGACGGAGAGATTTCGCAGGTCTTTCCTCCCCACTTCTGTCAGACTGTACAACAAAGACTCCAACTGATCAAACACACACATCCACACATGTGCAATAACACTAAGTGCAATACTCTTTATCTGACAAAGTTGTATTTTTACTCAGTTGTATTAAGTATTTGTATTCTATTTTTATCCTATTGTATATTTTATTCTATTTATTCTACTGTATATAGTATTTTATTTTATTCTATTCTGTACAGTTGTGTACAGTATTATATTTTTATTATATTCTAATTTTTGCCATATAACTTTTGCACTGTCCACTTCCTGCTGTGACAAAACAAATTTCCCACATGTGGGACTAATAAAGGTTATCTTATCTTATCTTTAGTGCAGTAATTTACAGTAAATACCATAGAATTTGCCATATTTTTATAAGGAGGAACCACGTGCCATAACATAACTTTGACCCACTTTTGCATTCATAGGCAATATGAATTTAAAACCACATAGCCCAACTCAGCTGCATCGTTTTCCCTTACAGGAGTCGATCCGGTGCTTGGAGGATGAGAAGGTGCTTCTGGAAATGACAGAGGAGGTGGACTATGATGTTGAATCATATGCAACTCAGTTAGAACAAATCCTGGACCAGAAGATAGACATTCTTACTGAGTTAAGAGGTAAACATCATGCAGTTTCCAAATTTTCAGCCTCTTTGCATTAAGAAAATATCAATTCTACAAGTTAGTCTGATAAATGAATAACTGTAGATGGCAACAGACACACCGTTAACAAACAACTACCAGCTGCCACAGTAATAAAAGCAATGTACCGATGTTATGTTATATATTAAGCTACATTTAAAACATTTCCTCTGCCAGCAGTTCTTTCCCACAAGGAAATGAATCTGTTACTCTCCACCAGACTCAGAAACGGCAATTTTATCTCACAAAACACAGGATTTTTCATCTACTGCAGCCTTGATGTGTATATTGGTTGGTTTGTATTATTGTTCTGTTTACAGTGCGTAAGCTTCAATCCAAACTAACGCATTACAGTGCAAGAGTGCTAAGTAGTTTCTATGATAGTGTGCCATTTCCATCAACAAACTTGCAAGTAAAATTAAAATATATCTTCACATTTTCAGTTGTACAACTCAAAATGTGTTTTGTGCAAACAACTCAAATAAGTTTTACACTTATTCATATGGTAAATGGCCTGTATTTGTATAGCGCTTTTACTAGTCCCTAAGGACCTCAAAGCGCTATAGACAACCAGTCATCCACCGTCCAACGACACGAGCCGGGGCTCGAACCGGCAACCTTCCGATTACAAGGCGAACTCCCAACTCTTGAGCCACAATCGCCCTATATAGGGGTGATATTCATATTGGATTTTTAAGAACTATACCCATATTTGGTGATTTAAAAATCTGATACTTCAATCAAGGTCAGTATTGATGAGTGTGAAGTAGTCACACTCGAACGTCAAGGAAGGTGGTAGGGAAGCAGACTATGCAGACATTTTGGGTTTCCAAGGTGAGCAATTTATTTGCAGTGAACTTAATTTAATGTATAACTTAACAAAACTTTCCCCAAATCAATTCATTTAACAAAACTCAACATAACATAACATGGCTCTGGTGACACAGCTCACCTCTCCTCTCTCCTGCATCTGGTAGAGACTGGCTTTAAATAGGGCCATCAATTTCCCTCCAATTGCCCAGCCAGTACCACTCACTCAACTGAGGGATCTAAAACTATACTCAGGTTATCTAAAAACACAAAACCTCTACACACTTCTAATATGCACATTTACACAACTAAATGGCAGTATTAACAAAAGGAAAAACATTCAACAAATCCCTTTAAACATTAACACAAACAAAAGGAAGCATCTCTCTGGAAAAAGAAACCCCTCCACATGGTTTGACCTGATGATGTCATGTGTGACATGATCAGGACTTTAAAATGAGGAAATGCCAAGCGGGCGTTTCCCCACACCTGACACTCATGATGACTGAAAAGACAAACAGAGTAAGTACTTAATCTGTAACATAATAAAGTATAAAGAAGCATAACTTAGTATTTGTCTTAATTTGCAGAATGTTTGATTTGCCGGCAACAAAACGCTTACACAAACAAACCCCGGATAGTGAGTGAAGCAATGTTACTTGACAAATAGCAAATCATAGCAAATACATAGAAACAGAATAATGTGTACAATGTGCAAAAAAAAGGTAAACACATATGGGACAAATGGAGAGAATTACAACTGCTTCTCCACTTTGTCACAATGAGCAAATAGCTGATTATATGAAAGAAAGAAGTTAAGCTACGAATTATATGAAAATACAATAGACCCAACAAAGACAACACAATTGTCCAGCAGAAGGATTATCCATGATGATAGGAGAGATAAATCTTTATTTCCTATTCTTCACCAGTTTCTGCTCTTATCCTATCATTTCACCTTCACTTTTTATAAAATTCACATTTTGCTACAGAATATTTCACAATATTTAAAAAAAAAGCTTCAGCTGGTGTATCAAATTTTGTATGAGTGACGTGATTTCATGTTATCCTTAAAGACAAAGATCATCATTTAAATAGTGCCTTCTGTGTGATATTCTCTCCTCTTCCAGATAAAGTCAAGTCTTTCCGTTGTACTCTCCAGGAAGAGGAACAAGCTAGCAAACAAATCACCCCCAAGAGGCCTCGGGCGCTATAGACGCATAACATGTGCTATTTCACTGATTGGTCCTCAGAGAGGTGAAGGCCATAAGGAGGTCAGTGCTGATGAAGCAGCTGATTTAACTCAGCTGTGATTTTATGGTGTGAGTTCCTGTAAGTGTGTTTGGTTTTCCCTGACCTCTCTGCTGTACAGACTGCTTCCTGTCATCCATCCATTTGCAAAGCCAAAGAGCGTACCGCCCACGCTCTGCCATGTTCCTGTAAAGCGTATCTATAAAGTTTTTCTCTGTGTGCTTAATCCCAAGTACTTGATTTTAAAACAAAAAAAAGTTCAGACATTGTTTTAAATTATTTTTTATCAGATCAGTCATGCTCACCAGGGCAATTTTATAAACAACTTTTGCCATTTTGTGCAATATTTGGAGGAATTTTTCTTCCTGTTCTTCCTGTTTCAGCTCGGATGAACAGGGCATGTCAAGTTTGTGTGTAACATGAGCCACGTGTTTGTGTTGATACTGTATGTAATTAAGGTTTGATTGAGACAAGCCTAAAATTAACCTTATGTGACATTAACTGCGCTAAAGGGTGCACTATGATCAAGGTGTTTCAGGATACATTTACAGAAACAGTTCTTTTTTCATTTGCCATAATAAAAGATTACTTCTTGTTGCTGTATGTGTATTTATTTAGCCCTCAGGGCACCTCCTGTGGAGCATCTAGCTAATTTTTTCGGGGCCACTAGTTCATAGTTACTAATTATTACTAAAATATGTTTAACTACTCACGCTGTTCAAAGGCATGAAAATCTTTTCATAGCCTTCAGTTTAACATGAAAGACAATACAATACAACTTTATTTGTATAGCACATTTAAAACCAGAGGTAGCCAAAATGCTTCACATAATCCAATAAAACAGTAGTAAAATACAAATGCAGATAAGCTAGCAGATGGCTGGCATTGATTAACCAAGCATACAAGCACGCAGATAAGCAAGCAAGACTTAACGATAAAAACAATATAGGCAAAAGAGAGGAAAGGGGAAGGCAAGAAAGAACACTTAAAAGGCCTGCTCTAGGAGGCCGGGAAGGCTAAGCTAAAAAGGTGGGTTTTCAATCAAGACTTGAAGGTCTGGATTGAGTCAGATGTGCAAATAGTATGAGGGAGGTTATTCCAGAGGTTAGGTGCAACTGAACCAAAGGCACGGTCACCTCTGGTTTTCAGCCCTGACCTAGGTTGTACCAAGAGCAATTGGTCTCACGATCTCAGCATTCTACCGGGAGTATACACACTAAGGAGATCAATAAGGTAGCTGGGTGCAATGTTATTTATGATTTTATAAGTAAGCAGTAAGATTTTAAAATCAATGCGGTGTTTAATTGGGAGCCAGTGAGAATTGGGGTGATTGTCTCAAACCTACGAGTACCAGTTAGAAGGCGAGCCGCGGCGTTTTGGACGAGTTGCAATCTACGAAGAAGGGCAGAATGAAGCCCAGCGTATAGGGAGTTGCAATAGTCTAACCTGGATGTGACAAAGGAATGGATAAGCTTTTCTAGATCCTCACGTGGTAAGTATGGCATGGCCTTAGAAATTAAACAAAGTTGATAGAAACAAGATTTAATAACAGAGGACACATGCTTGTCAAGCTTAAAGGAGCCGTCCAGGTAAACACCCAAATTACTTGCGGAATCGGAAAGATAATCAGCGAAGGGCCCAAGGACACCAGTTAGATGGGCTCTAGGGGTATGACTATCAAATATTAAAATTTCCGTTTTCTTGGTATTAAGGATAAGAGAATTGCTCAGCAGCCAGTCTTTAACTTCACTTATATAATCGAAGAAGCGAAGTATCAATGAAGTTTCATCCTCAGTCAATTCAAAATAAATTTGAATGTCATCCGCGTAGCAATGATAAGAGAGTTTGTACTTTTCAATAATACGACAAAGGGGTAACATATATAGAGAAAATAGCATAGGACCCAATACAGACCCCTGAGGTAACGAGGGCAATGGAAGAGGAGTAGGTACCCATCGTGACAGAGAAGGACCTCTCCGATAAGTAGGATTTAAACCAACTTAGTGCCATACCTGTAATGCCAAGCAGATGTTCACGCCTCATTAAGAGGATATTATGGTCCACAAGATCAAAAGCAGAGGACAGGTCCAACAAAACTAAGACCGCGGGGCGCCCAGAGTCAGTAATTAAAAGAAGATCATTGAAGACCCTCAAAAGTGCTGTTTCCGTGCTATGGCACAGTTTAAACCCAGTTTGAAATTTATCCCAGATGTTATTCTCATTCAGATAGGTCTGAAGTTGTGATAGGACAATCTTCTCGAGGATTTTTGACAGGAACGGAAGTTGCGAGATAGGTCTGTAATTAGCGAGATTTGAGTGATCTAGGGAACGCTTTTTAAGAACAGGTTTCACTTCGGCATGTGTAAAGGCAGCCGGAACACAACCCATTGACAAAGAAAGATTGATTAGTGATAATATACAAGGCCCAATTACATTAAATCCCTCCTTAATAATGCGAGATGGGAGAATGTCGTGAACAGAATTTGAGATTTTTAGACGATCAATAACTGTAACTTCGGTCGTTGCTGTGCTTTTTTTTGGAAGTCGAATTTCCCAGAGGAACCCACCCGAGGGATTAATAAAGTTCTATCTTATCTTAATTCCCTTAAGGGTAGGAAGTGACACTGGTTCGAACTGAGCAAGTGTCATAGAGCAGCGTAAAGCGGGGGCTTGGCACATCCCCGAAGCTTTTAAGGCTCTTAAGGTGGAGATTTTATCAGTGAAGTGATTTAAGAACTGCTCACAAAGAGCCGAAGAAGCTAGCCACGATGCTTCAGGATAAGGGTTAACCAAGGAGTTAAAAATATTGAATAAAACGCGTGCATTATGACTATTATTCGTAACAATGGCTGACAGAACAGCCGCTTTAGCCATCTTAGCAGATTTCTGGAATTCCAAGCGCGTCCTGCGTAAAATGTCAAGGGACACCTGGAGCCTATCCTTTTTCCACCGCCTCTCAGCTTGACAGCAGGTACGGCGTAGAGCACGTGTAGAGTAATTTAACCAAGGTCGGGAACAGCTTCTAGGACATTTCACTTTTATAGGGGCCACAGTCCAGTAAGGAGGTGCATATAGCAAGTAGGGAGTTGGCAAAGTCATCAAATAAAGACTGTGTGATGCCAGCCGTATCAGGGAGCACAGATTCAGAGAAAAACGCAGAAAATTCAGCCACAGTCCCAGAATCAATGAAACGGCCAAGGCGTCGAGGGCCCCCAAGGTTCAGATCAGTTTCGCATAGATCAGCATCAAAAAGGACTGGAAATTGGTCAGAAATCCCAGTGTTGCTAGTTCCCCTGACACTAGCAACACTGGGATGTGGTTTTCCATGAGAGAAAACCAAATCAAGCGTGTGACCTTTAGAGTGGGTTGGAGTATTTACCCACTGAGTAAGATTAAAAGAGCTAAAACAAGAAAGTCTTTAGCAAGCCTATCGTCTTTACAACAGATATGAATGTTAAAATCACCAGCAATAAGAAGACGGTCATAATTTAAGCAAATAGATCCTAAGAAGTCAGCAAAATCATTGATAAAAGTCCACAACACAAAGAGCCAGGGGGGGACCAGCAAGTTCCAATAATTGTGCTTCAAAACTAACAAACATAGGTGGGGCCAGCTGCTGTATCCGGAATTTATTCCTAAAGACCACCGCAAGTCCTCCACCCCTATTCATCAACAACCTAACATTTAATAATGCCCTCCGGGCCGAAGACGCCAGGTTAGAGGTACATCTCAGGCCTAGATTAATTGTAAGCCTAGATTAATTTTATTAGTATTTATTATCAAAATGACTGCTGTAAACTCAGTTTATTGCAGTTGAGCTACATGAAGTTCAAGACCTGTGCTTTGTATGTGTGTAACTTGATACCACATCTGTTTTCTAGTAACCAGCAGTGGGCCTCTGGTTACAAAAAGAACTTGCATAGAAGTCCAAAGTCACTTGGCTCCTTTGATGTGTATCCTCAGTAAATACTTTTCTTGATGATTTCAAGTCTCAGTTGCTAGTTTCAAGTCTTATTGAATACAACGTGTTTATTTTGTTCTTTATGGACCCATTAGAGGCGGAGAAAGCAAAGTACACATTTGGATGAGCCAAACTTGTGATTGACTAGTCGCTACTTTACAAGCCTTGCAGTGTCTGCTCCAAAGCTGATTAGTTGTTCTGGAACAAAAAAAAAACTCAGAGTTGCCGATTGCAGAGTTAACAAACTCAAAGTTAGACCCAGATCTACAGTGGGGCAAAAAAGTATTTAGTCAGCCACCGATTGTGCAAGGTCCCCCACTTAAAATGATGACAGAGGTCAGTAATTTGCACCAGAGGTACACTTCAACTGTGAGAGACAGAATGTGAAAAAAAAATCCATGAATCCACATGGTAGGATTTGTAAAGAATTTATTCGTAAATCAGGGTGGAAAATAAGTATTTGGTCAATAACAAAAATACAACTCAATACTTTGTAACATAACCTTTGTTGGCAATAACAGAGGTCAAACGTTTACTATAGGTCTTTACCAGGTTTGCACACACAGTAGCTGGTATTTTGGCCCATTCCTCCATGCAGATCTTCTCGAGAGCAGTGATGTTTTGGGGCTGTCGCCGAGCAACACGGACTTTCAACTCCCGCCACAGATTTTCTATGGGGTTGAGGTCTGGAGACTGGCTAGGCCACTTCAGGACTTTCAAATGCTTCTTACGGAGCCACTCCTTTGTTGCCCGGGCGGTGTGTTTTGGATCATTGTCATGTTGGAAGACCCAGCCTCGTTTCATCTTCAAAGTTCTCACTGATGGAAGGAGGTTTTGGCTCAAAATCTCACGATACATGGCCCCATTCATTCTGTCCTTAACACGGATCAGTCGTCCTGTCCCCCTGGCAGAAAAACAGCCCCATAAGCATGATGTTTCCACCCCCATGCTTCACAGTAGGTATGGTGTTCTTGGGATGCAACTCAGTATTCTTCTTCCTCCAAACACGACGAGTTGAGTTTATACCAAAAAGTTCTACTTTGGTTTCATCTGACCACATGACATTCTCCCAATCCTCTGCTGCATCATCCATGTGCTCTCTGGCAAACTTCAGACGGGCCTGGACATGCACTGGCTTCAGCAGCGGAACACGTCTGGCACTGGGATTTGATTCCCTGCCGTTGTAGTGTGTTACTGATGGTGACCTTTGTTACTTTGGTCCCAGCTCTCTGCAGGTCATTCACCAGGTCCCCCGTGTGGTTCTGGGATCTTTGCTCACCGTTCTCATGATCATTTTGACCCCATGGGATGAGATCTTGCGTGGAGCCCCAGATCGAGGGAGATTATCAGTGGTCTTGTATGTCTTCCATTTTCTGATGATTGCTCCCACAGTTGATTTTTTCACACCAAGCTGCTTGCCTATTGTAGATTCACTCTTCCCAGTCTGGTGCAGGTCTACAATACTTTTCCTGGTGTCCTTCGAAAGCTCTTTGGTCTTGGCCATGGCGGAGTTTGGAGTCTGACTGTTTGAGGCTGTGGACAGGTGTCTTTTATACAGATGATGAGTTCAAACAGGTGCCATTCATACAGGTAACAAGTGGGGGACAGAAAAGCTTCTTACAGAAGACGTTACAGGTCTGTGAGAGCCAGAGATTTTCCATGTTTGAGGTGACCAAATACTTATTTTCCACCCTAATTTACGAATAAATTCTTTACAAATCCTACCGTGTGAATTCATGGATTTTTTTTTCACATTCTGTCTCTCACAGTTGAAGTGTACCTCTGGTGCAAATTACTGACCTCTGTCATCATTTTAAGTGGGGGAACTTGCACAATCGGTGGCTGACTAAATACTTTTTTGCCCCACTGTACCTCTCACTCGGTGCTTCCTATTTCTAAATACAAAGACATCAGTGCTTGAAACACTGTGCTTCAGGCATCACAGTGGGATCTCACTCCTCAGCTGGTAGTAAGTCCCGGATTTATACTTTTTTTTTTTTTTTAGGCATTCCACATAATTGTATGTAAACGTTTAAGACTAGGCTAAAAAGAACACACAAACACATGGTAATTTATCATCCAATTATATTTATTCCACAGTACAGAGGATAATGGTGAGTGCTGAACACATACTGTATGAACAACGACACATCTGTACCTACTGAAAATGTGAGTCTAAATCACTTGGAAAAGTAATTCTGGTGTCCCTAATTAAGTACATGTGGCATCTTAGTTACTGGCTGTCGGTGTCATGGATCAAAGAATCAGTTAAAACATATAAAATGGGTAATGACAATCTATGCAACAGCTAACATGGCGCAGAGAAGTACTATTTTATGCCACCCTTTCCTAGCAAATATAAGCAGTATATAAACATTTAACGATGCAATAATGTAACTGTAAGCAGATACAAAGTGTTTGTCTATTCCTGGAATTATAAAAAAAAAAAAGTAAAACAAATGGAAATCACACATAAAGCAAGAATTAATGATGCCGTAATGGTTACAGGGCAATTAAAATTGCTACAAATATAATAAATCAATGTGTAGAGCTACATTTTAATGTGTTATAAACCATTAAGTGTTTATAGTGGTGCTTATAAAAACTAGATGATGTTAAAATAAATTTTGTGCATGTGACTCTAATCCCATACTATGCATATATTGAAAGTGTATATTAATTATTGCCACTATACACTTTGTCACGGTCCTACAGCATCTGCGGCATTATATTTCAGATGTGTACATACAAAATATGATATGGTGCTAAAGCTGGACATCAATAAATTGTCAGTCCCACGTTCTAATAAGGAGCCTTTTCTAAAAGATTTATTCATTTAAAGATATTAATCAAAACCGACTTTTATTTGGCAGCTTTGTTTCACTTATAATGGCTTTTAAAAACATTTGTAATCCTATTATAAATACTAAATAGTCATCAATTAAGAACTTTAATCAGTAGGCATGCTTTCCTTTTACATGACTGTACGTCTTCAGTACAATACATACATGTTTCAGGTATGAGTTTACAGAAGTCATTACAAATACTTTTATTGGCTTTAGAAAATGTAGGAAGGTTTTAAACACATGAATTTTCAATAAGTGCCAAATAATTAGTTTGCTAAAATGCTGTTCATAGAAGCAACAGTGGGTGCTAACATTTTTCACAGTGTCAGCATTAAAGCTAAACTGAGCAGTCATCTCATAGACTGAAATGAAAAGTGGTCTCTTTGGACTAACATGTCCAGTGACTTATTCAGCATACAATAATGTTTACCCTTTCACAAAGGGTGTGTTATTAGAAAGTGAAACCACAAACTAATAATGCACTTTTTAAAACTAAAGATGTAGGTCTCTATATTTAATCATTCTTATCCCAAAGTGGCAATAATTGTGATTACAGGAAATATATTCTGCTGTTTGTTTTTGTTTTTATATGTAAGTGTTCAGTTTAATTGTAAGGACATAGTGGAGAAGAGTTCATTTATTATTCTTACCAGTGTAGGTTATGTAATTTTAAGTTGGATTAGACAAAATGCAACAGTTTGTTAAATATTGTTTTCTGTTAAGGGCTTTTACTTTTCCATGCACCTACTGCTGCCTGAGAAAAATGTCTCGAGTTATATTGCAAAGGTTTTGTAAAATACTCCAGCTTGAAAAATAGGTACAATAGTCCTATAAAACATACTTGACTGTTGTAAGAGACAGCAGATGTCTACAGCAGCTCAAATACAAACAGTTTTCACATGGTGTGAAAAAGCTGCACGTGGTGTATGGACGTGTATGCTTTCAGACTGCATGTAGATTGAATTGTGGTAGATTGTGCCCCTGCTGTGATGTGAAGAATAATATTGCACTGGTAGGAACATAAAAGCTTCCTGTGTTGGTCCATAGCCTCAATGACTGCCAAAATGACAAATAAAATGCTACATATTTCCGTTATAGTTCACCTGAAATTTCCAGAGTAACGCCATGAACCTTAAATAAATAAATAAACCTCGACCCTATATTTCCTACATATATATCTTTACAGTATGTACAGTGACACATCCTTGGCTCCTGAACAGTGTCAGAATCCAGACGGACAGACATTCAACTCAGCAGCCAAAATGGCCAAATGGGGAAAAGTGTTCTCCAGGACTTCTTTCAGTCTAGCATATTGTCCAAGGTTTTGGCAGCACGCTCAGACTCTGTTCTACAAGGTCAAAACATTTTGCCCATTTTTTTTCACATGCAACATTCAATTTAATATTATGTAGTCAGCAAATCAAAATCCAGTCAAAGCATTAAGACGTTTGCTCTCAGTACACACTTCCCCTTCTTACGAAAGGCTGGATACAGTGTTCATCAGAGGTTTTCAAACTATGACAACCTCCCATCTGTGTCAGGTGGATTGTACAGGTGCACAGAGGTGTTTGAGAGCAACAGGAAGCACTAGTTGTCTTTTTTGGCCCTTTAATTTCCAAGTTAAAAATGAGTGGATCTATGTGATATATGTATCTTTAGATTCAATGGGCCATAGACTTTCAGAAGACACTGCTATATCCAGTACCCATGACTAATAAGCAGACAGTTCTTCATGGGTACAGTGCAAACAGGAAGAGCTAATAGCTAAGACAATTGCTAAAATGCTTTTAATGGGGCCAAAATCTTAAAAAAGAAAAAAAAAAAAGAAAAAAAGTTTTCTTTTGTTTTTTAAAGAAAAGAAACAAAAATAAGAAAAACTCCTAATCCTCTAGCTATAGTCTGTGCTTCTCAGATATCAGCATGTAGTCAAGTCACAAAGCTAATTACATTCCTTTAAAAATCAGTCACCATTGTTCTAAATGATTTTCTGGATTCCTCAATGAGTCTTCTAAGTATCTGGGTTAACCAACAACAACAAAAAAGCCTTTTCTACTCAGTAAAAAGAAGATTTTAAACTTGAAATCTTTCTCATTTTGCACCTCTGAAACCAAATGAAAACAAAGACAGCAGTAGATAGTAGGAAAATTAGGAAATGGATTTGAAGAGACACCTCTTGCAGTGTGGTGGCACAGTAGTAGAGCAGTAAGTACTGTTGCTTCACAACTAGAAGATCCTGTTTGTCCATTTAAGGTGTCCCTGCCCAAAACCCCCCTTTCTTCTGACTGCCCAACTGCTGGAAGCTTGCTGAGGAGCAGTACTGATTATCTGAGAGTTATATCCACCTGAGAACCAGCCCATTCATTTATGTGTCCTCTGTAATGGACATCTGTTTTTGACTTATTTGAGCTAACCTACATATATGACATTCTGGGATTTCCATTGATATTTCATGGGTTTTGTTTTTTATCTCCAAAGAGGAAGGAAATCACAAAAAAGTTCAATAGAAAGATTGTTTTTTCCTCGCTTCTCAGGAGGATATTTCTGGGTGTGCTGTGTATGTAGCCAATAGCACAAAGAAATCAGGTTTCTGTATGTCATGTTATTGTAAGATAACATAACATAAGAAGGAAAAGTGCGCTTTTAAAGGTAAACTTCAGGAGTCTACATTAGATTGCACAAATTTTTAAAGAATTACAGTTACTGTAGTTCCAAAGCTTTGAGAATAATCATCCACCAAACAGAAAAATATCCCTGTTAAGAGAACACAGAGTGTGGGCATGGATATGCATCAGGGGGGGAGCACAATATCAGACTTTGAAAACTCCTGGTCTAAAGACTTCTGTAGAGTTCCTTGTTAACTATTTGGCACATATACGTACATCATTTTCATATTGTGACCAAATGTACAGACGTATGCATACCAGCACATATATCATATCCTGACATAAATAAAAAATGTCATGCACTACAGAGGTGTTCGAATGCAGCAAAATGAGATGGTAACTACAGTATATTCCACTGTAAACTAGTGCAAAAAAGGATAATGAGGTTATGCCGTTGATTAACTACAGTATTAGAGAATGATTTTGGCTTTTGTGGTGGGTTCAAGACGGTCTGGATCACACAGACTGGAAATAGAAGCACTCTTGTGTAGTGTGGAAACTGGGCATGTGAAATAACAGCATAGTAAAATGAGGGTGACAAGCAGTGCGGCTGCTCCATACATCCATACACGAAGGCTTAAAGGACAGATTCACAATTTTTCATGCTTCAGAAATAGCCATATGCTCATCTGAACACTGAAACTGTTGTAGTTATAATTATTTAAGTCTATACCAAGCATGTAGAACTACGTATCATTTGTTTAGACTTAGACTTCCAGTTCATGCAAAAACACATTAGAATTTATGCTTGTTATTAATATTATTAATATTATTTTGAAAATCTGGCTTAAAAGAGTAAAGTAAATAATTTCCAAGGTTTTAAATTTCATCTTTGTGTCAGGTCAAGTCAAATTATTACAGGGTGTGTATAAAAATGAATAACTTTAAAAACTAGCTATATTAAAACAATTCTATTGCAATATAAGAAGGGTTAATTTTAAAAATCAAGTATATGGCCTTTTTTGAATTATCTGCATAAACACTTTTTTTAAAACTTTTTTTTAGCTCCTATTGACTGAATTTGGATCATTTTAAAGGTATAAATTAAAAGGTCTTGTCATTCAGTTTTGTGCAGCCCTTAGTAGAACACCCTGAACACAACAATTTTTCGAGAGATGTTGTTTAGTTGTTAACATTTGCCAAAAATAAGCATAGTGGATTCTGCCCACTATCACCTAAACTGGAAGCACATTGTGTAGGGTATGTCTTCATGGCTAGTTTTACTGTTTCAGTGTTCACACAGGCACCTGACTTTTTCATTTATCATACCTGTAAATGTTTTTACCTATTATATAAAGAGCCCATATGTGCCCATAGTTTTTGTTTTTTTTGGATTTGGGTCAGAGATGTGAGGTGGCTTCATCTTCTTTAAAGGGAAAGAGAGGCCAATGGGACTCATCTCCCATACTTCACACACACTGATAATTCAGTCATTTCAACATTCGAGCTGAATCACTTCGGCTCATTCTTTAGTCCATTTGGTACAAATACTGAAACATCTTTGTGAGTGAAAGCTCTCCCTTCCAGTTCAGTCTGAAATGAAACAGGCTCCAGGTCCAGCCTGCATTATATCCTATGAGAAAAAAGAGCAAATACTCAGGAAACACCACAAAAGTGTCTCCCAGCAGCAGCAACTATGGGAAACAAAACACCACCAGCAGGTGGATCTGAGGTATTGCAAGCAGATGAATATATATATAGATATATATATAAATAAAGGGATAGTTGCTGTGGACTGTACAGAGTCTCAGTTGTTGCTTTGATGCTGCATGCCCTGTTTTTCTGCTTTCCGTCTCCTCTGCAAAGAAAGTGTCTTGTGGGATATTAAGGCCTTGGATGGCCCAGAGGCCACACGGAAACAGAAAATACTACAGAGTTTCACACAGGGTGGAATGAAAACTGAATGGCCGACCTGCTATCAGTATGTTTTAAGAAGCATGAAAAGGACTGATCTGTGACTAAGACGACAAGTACTTTCCTCTGTGATACAGTATATTTCACAAATCCAGCCCTTATTGTTCAAAGGATCAATTCATCCAAAATACACATTTCTTTATTCATATCTTTTGGTATCTAAAAATAGAAAATTTAGAGATTCTTTTAAAATCTCTGCCAGCACAATACCATGAAGGTAATTCGTTTGTGGTCCATTACACTTAACTCAATGCTAGCATTCTCATGCTATCATTTCTCCAGTAACAATGCTACAAGCTTTTTTTCTAATCTAGTTTAGCTTGTTAGCATGGTGATTTTAGGTGGTAACAAAGAGAGTTTGGACCCTGGCAGACTCTCAGGTACATTTTCATGACAGAAAATACTTCCACCTACATTTACATCATCTTAATGTTTAGATACTTCTGGACAAATAAAACCAAAAAGTACCAGCCAGATAAATAGGGTGGAGTAAAATGAAATTGGAGAATTCTTTATGAAGCCAGCTGACAGGCTGTTGGTAAGAAATGGGAAGAGAGTAACTAAAGCATCTAACCTAACAACCTTCTGGATGGATTTTGTTTACACTAACATGCTGTGGCTAGTTAAAATAGCTACTAATATGATCTCTTTTGGTAGAGTTTGGATGAACAGATCCTTTACAGTAAGGTCTCCATTTGGTCTCTCCTTACTTTTTGTTAGATTTGCCTTTCTGTTTTTTGGTCTCTACTTACTTTTTGATAGATTTGCTTTTCTGTTTTTGCATTATGAGGGTTTTCTATACTTATTGCCAGTCACTGCTGTGTTCCAAAACAGTGGAAAAGAAACTCAAGTGTAAATCACTGGCCCTTTGCCACGGTTGCCAAACGAACTTAGCCTCAGTCCCATGGTTGACTGTCTGAAGATCAATCTGGCTCTGCAGTTTGTCCTGAGCTCATGAGTGTAAATGTTTATGTTGTTTGGAAAGGAGAAGGGAGGGTTTCCCGTTAGACGAGATTAGTTTAAGGCTTACAATTTCTTTTTTTAATCCTTCCTTTGTCATTTTTTTAAATAGTGGTATATCCTATAAAAGTATTACTGTAAAAGAGTCATGCTACAGAACTGTTTTGTTCTCTAGATCCCACTTGGCCTGATTAGTCCACTCCTCCTGGACAGATCCCTACTTATCGCTCCTTCCTAATCTCTATTAATTATGGGTTATTTATGCTGAACCATCTGTCTATTCCTTCCACAACCCCATCATCCACACACTCCCATCTTTTCTTCACCTTTCTATCTTTTATCTTAGTCCAGAGATCATAGTGGCTCGGCCAGGGTCCTTTATACCAAAGCTTTTATTTAAACATTACTTGGGGCCATGTAAGCCTACACTGCCCTCCTTGGTGCTGCTGCTGCGCCCCCAGCACCCCCCAGCTATACTCATACTCCTCTGTGCTGCTGCTGTGACCCCTCTATCGCGCTCCACTTCACACTGGCTGAGCGTGCGCTCAGTCCGGCTGGGCTGGCTGGGTGAGCATGACCCCGACCCTCCAGGCTGCTGAGAGGAGATGGTGCGAAAGATGTGGTTCCGTTTCCGGAGGAAGTCTCCTCCAGCTGTGCCCAGAGCAAAGCTGCCCTTCCGGAGGACCATACGGGTACTGGCGGTCTTGGCAGGGCGAGACCTTTGGTTGTACTCCAGCTGAGATAGGTGGGAAGCATAGCCATCCAGGATGAACTGGAACAGATTAACAGTCAATTAAACTGGGTTTACTCAGCATCAATGCACAGACAGAAGGTCCCCTGACAGACCCTAAACACTCAGCGATTAATCATGTAAAATATTCATGGCCTAATTAGTTCACAATGAAACTATTTTACAGCTGTACACCCACTCAGATAAAATAGTTTCATTGTGAACTAATTCATAATGTACCACAATTATTTACTATCAGACCTGGCACTGGTGCTGCATTTTCTTCGTGGGCCTTCCCACTATGTAGATATGAGATGGAGGCAGGCCAATAGAAGTGTACACTGATATGTCCTTGGTGGAGCCATAGGCAGCAAATATCCTCATGTTGGCCTAATCAAATACAAAGAGTTTAAACTTTTAGACATTGGAAGGATTTTGCTGCATTGCTATTCCAGACTCTCCCTGCCCTCACTTACCTCGTTGATGAGGGTTTTGAGGAAGTTGGCCTTGTGTCGGAGAGGGTCATGTACCAGGCCGTCGCAGAATGAGACGATGCCATTAGGGAAGTTATGCTGGGAGAGCCAGGCAACAACACGCTGCTTCTGCATGTCAGGACGACCTGTGACATACACTATCAGATAGCCCAAGTCCTGCCAGTACCTGCAAACAATAAAGAATAAAAATCCTGAGAAGGAGTCGCGTTTGGATTAGCTGACTTCCATGCTAAAAGGGAGTGATATGTTGTTCAGAAAATCAATATTCTGCCATTACTTCACATAAATATTCCCAAGATGCAGCACATGTAAAAACTACAAATACCAGGGGGGTAGTATTTATTCTCAATAGTTTAGAAGAAAACTATAAAATAACATATATGGAATTAAAAATGTGTGAAAGAAAATGTGTTTTTCAATTTTACATTTTTCAAAACTTTCACCTTTCGCTGTAACAGTAATGTGTAAGCTCCACACAACAATTAGTCCTGCAAGTACCTGAGCTGAGAGAGTGGAGAACCCCAGCCTCAGTACCTTTGTCCATGCAGCAAGTAGACCATGTGTTTGTGGTCATTTATCCATTTATGCCTTCACTGTGGAGAGGAATGTTTTGCATTGTGTGATGTTTTTGACCTAGAGAAGCAATTCTTGTGTTGCTTCTTCTAACTTACTAACATACAAAAGGGGCAGACTTTAGACCAGATTCAAATGTGAGATATGCGGCTCCATGTGAGATGCAGAGAAAGTGAACTGCTCATATCTGCATATGCATTTTCCACCATGAAGTATGGAGAACAAGTTGCCAAGACAACATTCCACAACAATCTGTTTTGGTCTTTGCCACGGAGTTTTTGTTTGTGTCCACAACTTTGATTTGTACTATCTAGACGTTTTACACTATATATTACTGCAGAGTAGTATTCCTACCAAGCATGCTGGTGTTCTCCTTACCTTACCACATCCACAGCCCCTGCTCGAACCTTAGGGTCACTCCCCATTATTGAGACGCTGGCAGCAAATGACCCGTCAATGCTGAATACAACAAACTCTGTTCCTCGTGGTACAATAGTAAGATAGCTGTCTGCAAATGTGTGGTCGCCCCTATTAGAGAAACAGCGACTGGTAAATATGATGAAATTCATACATGTATGCGTCTCTCCTTGTGAAATAACTACAACTCAGCATACCTGACCACCATTTTGACAGGATATACCCCGATACCCAGCCTCTTGCTCTCTGGAATTACATAAGAGACACGTCCACTGTTGTTAGTGAGCTCCGTGTCAAAGTACACCCACTCTCCAGAGGGAGGCTGGGTCATGATGTGAATGTCAATCTGCAAGAAAAAGAAAAAAAACAAAAACAAAACATGGCTTGAATACAAACCATCTCTTTTTTGTTGTTGTTCCTAACAGCCAAACATGTCAGTCATTACCTTTTCTCCAGTTAATGTGACCATGTCCAGAGGACCATACATGAAACGTCCCGTCAGTGTCTGCACTCCATCCTCTGTGAACACGGCGTCATTCACGCGATGATTAGCTGTCACATTCTGAGAAGCAACCAAAACAGGAAATCAGTTTCTTTTTTTTTTTCTTTTTTTTTTTCAAATCTCTTTATTTGGTTTTCCAGTGTTCTTTATCATAAAGGCAACTAAGATTCAAATATAAATGATTACATATATACAACAGAAATTAAACAAAATCAAAACAAAACAAAAAAAAGACGGAAATCAGTTTCAATTCTCTAAAGTCTCTCTTGAGACTTCTCTTACTGTTTTTGCTGCCAAAATGAGATGACGAGAACTTGACTGAAATGTTAATCAGCTCATTAGAGGTGCTTTTTTCCTAAATTGTTTGTCCTGTGAAATGCCTCTTTGGCACCTTTGGGACTACCGTATCGTCTTCAAGGACTTTTTGGACACCTTTTTTTCCAGAATAACTGAAATCCTCTACTTATGTCTTGCTGCTTATATCTTATGCAGGGCTATGGGCTATTCTATTCTATTCTATTCTATTCTATTCTATTAAATGTTTAGAGAGGAAATATTTTCTTGGTAGATATGCTAGTAACTAACAGATATCTGAAGTATGAAAATCAAAAAACGTGCTTAATCTTTAACAATAACTTATACACAGCCTTGTCAAAAGAAAGCAATGATAATCTAATATTTAGTTGGAACAAATTTAGCTTGGCATTATTTCAAATGTTTTATGCTTAGCATGTAAGTGGGGTTAAGTTAATCGGGTAGGTTAATTAAAGTTGGATGTGAACTAGATGTGAACGTGAACAGTATGACAATGGCTGCCTGTCTCTCAGTGTCGGCCCTGTGACAGGCCGGCGATCTGTTCTGGGGGTTTCCTGGCTCTCGCCTTATGGTAGCTAGGATAGGCTCCCCCCATGACCCTTAATTGGACAAGCAGAAGAAAATGGATAAATTGATGGCTCTAGTATGTGTGGCATGACATTTTCTGATGATAAATTAGTCTTTTAGGGAACGATGTTGAGGTCTCCAAAGTTTGGATCATTAGAAATTCAGATTTTCTTTGTAAATTTGCCTTTCGGGTAAATAAAACATCCATTTTTCTCCCTTTGTGTCATTTTTTGCTGCTGCTGAAATACTTCTAAAGCCAAACCTATGCCCTCCGAAAATATAACAGAGATACTTTAAGTCAAAAATCTCTCTTTTGTATCCACATCTTAAAAGTTCAGCATTGCCTCTGTCAGGTGGAGATACCATAAAGACCTCTTACCCGAATTTTAACATGAGTCCTCTTTCGAAGCCACTTCTCCCGAGGTTTTGAAGGAGTAAATTCAGACACTTCTTTACCATCCAGCTCCAAAACACCAGAATTCTCATGTCTCATTACCTGCAACAGGAAATGAAATTAACATTAATCACATATATTCTGTTCTCTTTAATGTTTATGGGGGAAAAAAGAAATGTAGAAAGCATGGTGAACCTATTGTACCAAATTTTCTGTAAAGGAATGGAGTCTTATATTTAATTTTAAAAAAAGCAATGACTGAGATTATCATCCCTGGAACTATGCAACTTAAAACACTTTAGTGATTACAAATCAAAGAAATAAAATCAATTGAAAGAGAACCTGTCTGAGTATAAATGAGACAACGTCCGTCGATTCCCAGTAGGAGGCATGGAAAAGATGAGGCAGAGCCACGGTTGGAAAGGCTGTCAGGGCATCAGGACAGTAAAGAGCATAGTCCATCCTCTTACTGCCCCACCACCGAGAGGCAACTACAGCAGTGAGGGGAAAAACAGACAGTCAGAACGTCCACTGTGCTGATTTTAGTTAGTGTTTTTCACTGAAGGTTTGACTAAGAGGCACTAGGGCTAGGTTAAAACTGGACAGTGGTGAGTAGCAGAAAGGTTTGAAGTGCACACTGTTCCCTCTCTTTTTTTCTTGTAATGCAGTGGTTCCCAACCTTTTTGACTGATATATCCCCAAAGCCCTCAAATATCCCTCCACCGATACCACAGTGTGTTCCAAACATGATCCCAATGAATGCTATTTTAAACTCTACGATATTTTAAAAGACACGTGTGATTAACTGTAGTGAAGCAATTCGTCCATTCTTTGTGTTGCAAAAGTAAAAAAATGTTTGTTGTTACTGTTGTTACTGTTTAGGGCGATCGCGGCTCAAGAGTTGGCAGTTCGTCTTGTAATCTGAAGGTTGCCGGTTCGAGACCCGGCTCAGACAGTCTCGGTCGTTGTGTCCTTGGGCAAGACACTTCACCCACCTACTGGTGATGGCCAGAGGGGCCGATGGCGCGATATGGCAGCCTCGCTTCTGCCAGTCTGCCCCAGGGCAGCTGTGGCTACAACTGTAGCTTGCCTCCACCAGTGTATGAGAGTGAATGAATAGTGGAATTGTAAAGCGCTTTGAGGGTCTCGAAAAGCGCTATATGAATGCAGTCCATTATTATTATTATCCACGACTTGTATTTGTCCACTGTTTTATCTATGAACTGTTAATATCCCTAAACTGCAACATATGACTTGGATACAGCAATTTATTTGATATGATGAATTTAGTTAGCGCTTATAGAAATAAATTAGTACACATCAATTTTTACTACTATTTGGGCTGTTTTATTTTCCCACATAAATGGGATCTCTTACGCTCATTTTTATCTCCACAGATTTATTTGTAGCCACTACTAGTGTATCCATGATTCATAATGCTAAAGCATCTGAATTTACTTAAACAAAGTGTTTAATTTCCTTCACGCTTTGTTTGAGATAACTTTCTTTTGACTGGCTGCATCTCGCAACCAGAAGGTGTGATCAACAGGTGGGTGGGGCTTCTGCGTGCCTGAGATGATCACATTAGCAATATCTGCTCTCAGTGATGTCATATAGATGTAGCAGCAAGGGGAAAGTCTTTAGAGCAATCTGAAGCTTTAGGCTCACAGGGATCACTTACACATATAGTACACTGACCTTCTTATTTAAAACTTAGACCATATTTAATATCAAAATCCATCGTGTCATAAAACATCAGTATATATTTTTTGAGATTTTTCTGCCAACACCAAAAGTAGTTACTGAGGTACAAGTAAGCCTGATTGGGAATCACCACCAGGACAAGAAAACAGTGGTTCTCAAGGAATTAAGTTCAGAAAGGCTCACAAGAAGGATTATGGACCTCCAGTGTAATTACTGTAACTACTTGGGAGTACTATCTGAGAGAAAGGAAGAAGCCAGAGGAGGAAGGAAAGAACACAGGGAATGAATACAGATTGTAGCATCCTTCCCTCAAGGTCCTCTTACTACAGCTCCCAGGGTACCTTTCTCTATGTTCTTCAGCACCCTGGGCGACGGGGGTGCCGAGCTGATGTCAGTGATGTCAGACGTAACATCAGTGAGGTCAGAGGTCATGTCAGAAGTCATGTCAGAGCTAACGTCCGAGCTGTGCTCGGACTCCACACCGTTGGATCTCGGAAAAACCTGACGAATTTTCTTGCGCAACTGAGGCGGTGTGCTCCGAGAGGCAAATCTATGGTAGGGTAGATGCAGCTGTGACAGCAGACTGGGCCTTTTAGTGTGGCTCACTTCACATTTGCTTGCTAAGAGGATGTTTGGAGGGAGGAAATGAGAATGTCAACATGTAAACTTCCAGCTTCTGGACCAAAAATTAGGTCAGAGACACAATGTCAGAGGTCAGCTTACTCGTAGCGATGTTGGAGGCGGTGTAAGAGTCAGCTAAGCCTGACACCTGGCTGGCTATGCTGGCCTCACTGGCTCTACGGGTGCAGCGAAGGTGAGGAATCCCTGGTGATGTTGATGATGGATGCTGACCATCAACAAGAGTATGGGAGTGAAGGGTATCCACTGCGAATAAAGAGGAGTTATAGTCATATTCTTTATTCACATATGATCAATTATTTCTATGATTATGAATAATTCAAACACCAATATAAAATAATGATATTTTTAATCACTCATGCAAGGAGAAACAAGTTGTAAATACAACATGTTACCTTTTGAGTTTTAACCATTTGATAAATTTAAGTCTCACGTTCACTCTTTTAACTCTGTTTTTGGTTTCCTCCAGATATCTTCCTGCTTAGCTACTGCATGTTCCACTATTTTTACCCAATAGTAAAATAACTCTGTTTGCTATTTGCTGCTGAGCAGTTAGTGTAAAATCGCTTTTTAGTGCTTAATTTGTCTGAGAAGAGACAGGAGTCTGAAGTGGCAGAAAAATTAGAGTCATTAGAGTGAACCAAAATGATAAAACTGCAACCAGCTCGCTAATCAAATAATAGAACCTCAAAATGAATTCAGTGGGTAAATACAGGTTTACCCGCAGCAGATGGCTGTTTGGTTCTAGTTTGGTTCTGTTGGATATTTCTTCCCGTTAAAATTGACTTTTTTTTTCTCCCCACTGTCAATAGGTGCTTACTCATAAAAGGTTGTATGATTGTTGGGGTTTTCTCAATATTATTTTAGGGGTTTACCTTACTCTGCAACTTCCCTGTTGGCAAAACAGGTGTTTTGAACCCCACAAACAAAAAAAGCAACTGAGCCATAACTAATGTTAGGGAAATCTGTTGATGTTTATGAAAGAGCCATAAACATCAACAGATGAACCAGCCAATATACTGGAATATTGTATTTTTTCCATCTGTATCAGTAATGGTCTTAAAAAAATCCTATATTGTTAGAAGCTCTAGTTTTAACCAAATCCAGACCACATTAGAAAAATAATAATAACAGGATAAAGGAGATAAAGAGAACAAATACACACTCTCTGTGTTGCTCTGGGAGGTCTGCCAGTTGAGGACAGGCACAGGGATGCAGGTCTCACTGACAATGCTTTCCTGGTTCCGATGTGATGCTGTACTGCCAGACTCTATCAGAAGCTGGGGGTTACTTTGCACAGTTTCAACTAAGCCAGACAAGGGGTAAAAAAAAAGTCAACAACTTGTATTACATAAAGTTCTGCAGCAAAATGTCTCAGGAAGTGTGCCTTTCTTTTTTGTCTGTGTTTGCGTGTGTGTCAACTCACCCAAGAGAGCCGAATGTCCATCACCCAGAGGAAAGCGCTGATAGCGGGAGACGCTACAGGGAGGCAGCAGGTAGAACCTCTTGTCTAGGAGAGGCTCAAGACGAGAGGCGGAGGGGTCAGCTGGATGAAACATGTTGTAAACCTGCTGGCAGGCTGGACGCAGCGCCGACACTAGAGCAGGAAACACAGCAAGAAGTTTTAAATAAACAGACTGGTGTGACTAGTAACACGGGACACTGTGTATACAAACTATAACTTTAGATAGTAGGCTGGAAAATACATTACAGTTTTACTGAGTTACATTGATGCAGTTCTCACATCATCGATGTAATTCTCTCCACTCCTTTTGGAGATCATTTATCTGAATTTCATTAGTGGGACCACACCTTGAAGCACACCCTTTCTCAAAAATGAGAAGCTGTTTGTTCTTGTTTTTGTGCCTTACCCTGTCTCCTTTTTTCAATTAATTCATTTCTCATTAGTACATTGAGATCTTTCCAGTCTGGGATTCGCCACCAGTCCCCTCTGAGGCCCTGAGGCCTTCCCCAAACCACAGCCTCAATTCATGCTCGAGTCATCTGCCATTATCTACTATCTACTGCTGTAAAACCTAAATGAGGATGTGGTCCCAGCTAGTGAAATGCAGTTCTTAACTCTGTAACACACTTCCCCACTAACTTGAGAATTTGTTATTGTATTTGCACACACTGCTATTGTTTCTACCCATTAGCACCACACACATTTTGTTATTGTCTTGAAGCACTTCTCGTCTGAATCTCATAACTAATCAAAACATTTTCCGTAACACTGCCCGGTATTGCATTATTGTTTTTAATGAAATCCCTTCAGACTTCTTTCAAAGTCTGTATGAAAGACTAAGGCCAGTCACACACTGTCAGTGGAAGAACAGTTTTCCTCGATCGTTTTGGTGCAATTCTCCCATCAGAAAAGTCACTGTCACTACTAAATTTGGATGAGCAGCTGACGAATCTGCAACAACTCTGCTCTGAAACTTGTACTAACAAGGTGTACTTAATAAAGTGCTCAGTGAGTTTGTACAGTATGTATAGTATACACATGTGTGTAATTGGCAGTGCCATGACATTCACCTGTAACACAAGATTGTGAGTATTTATTTCCAATTGTTTCAACTAAACTTCTTCTGACAACGTGTTACTATTTGCTTTTACCCAAAGGACAATTTCACTGCTAACACCGAGAGTGTGTGAGTGGATTTGCTCTTTCATACATGTTTGAAAAAAGTTCAAAGTAGCTTGATTGAAAACACTAATGCCGTGCTGGACAGTATTCAAGAAAGTGACAGATGTAGAGTTCTGACTAAGAATTATATAGGTTCGATCACTGGCTTCTCACGGTCCTTGAGCTCTCTAATGCATCCATCACAATATGAATGTGTGTTTATGTTAGATAGAAAGCACATATACAGAAAAAAGTGCATGTGTGTATGAGGCAAGTTTTTGGTGCTCAGGTAGAGTAGAAGCACTATATAAGAACCAGTCCATTTAGTACTAAATTATAAGTAGAAACAATAGCTGATGTGAGAATTGCACCAAAGTGATTGATAAAAACTGTAATAGGACTGTCATCTTTATATAAAGCTTGACAACTACTTTGCTGATGTAAACTTCCCACTGGTCTTGGTCTGACTACACCATAGACTCTCTAGTGTTTGTCACAGTGTCTACAAACAACAGCAATAAAAAACTATGCCCATATGAAAAATAAAATAAAATGTGTATAACCACTTAGAATTCCAAACAATCAATGTTTATATCCCATCATAATCACTTTGTTTTACACTTAAACTACTGTAGTATGTCCTGTTTGAAATCATACCTTTATCCATATGAATCTTTGATTCATTAAGCTACTAATCCTATGTCTTATGCCCTAATTTGATGTGTGATTGTACTGTCATATTTCAAGAGTAGGGAGGATACTGTATTTTTGTGGCATGTTATTTAGGTGATAGATAAGAATATCCTCACCAGTGGTAATTCCAGGACATTTTCAAGGCAAGCAGCACAAAAATATTTGACTCTTTATGTATTTTATCAGTATAAGAGACCGATAAAACTGCATCTACCAACAACTTATTTTCCTAATATTGAACGTTTTAAAGTTATTCCGATATTACTTTGGAAAACCATGAGAAATAAATGGCTGTGTAAACAAAGCAATGAAACTAAACATCCGACAGCAACTGTAATGATTTCCTTTTTTCTTTTTTTTTTTAAAGTCCACATGTTAAGCCAACAGCTGCAGGTCAGTAATCTGTTTCTTTAAAACCTCAAAGGACACAGTGCAGTCAGACTTGTGGCTGTGTAAGCACTTCTATCACATATTTCTCTTTTTCAGCCTTTGAGATCAAAAGCATGACTTCTAACCTCTGACACCTGCCTCCCAGCTGCTGGAGACATGCATTTCACACAGGAAGATACACAAAGTGCTACAAATAACCACTTCCTGCTTTGACCTGTGACGAACATCAAATTAGACCAACGGCAAAATAAATGATAGGAGCATAAAAAGGGAGAAAATCCTTCCCCACCATCCAGAGTGGGCACCACAGTCTTCCTCAGTGCAAGCACGAGCCCGAGTGGAGAGCCGAACAGGAAGAAGTCAGTCACTTCAAATTCGAACTTCCCCAGAGATCCTCCCTCCAACATGGTGCTGTTGCTGGAACGCCGGGATCCAGCCTCTCTGTGGAGAACGCTGGCGTGAAGGCTGCCCAGAAAGAAACAAAATATAACACATTAGAAGAAATCTTTGAAGGATTTGTGGCATTTGTTTTAAGTTCTGTGTCTCACCTAGTGAGGAAGGCTTGGTGGTGTTTGATGGTGTCCAGCTCGTACGTGGAGGAGTCGCTGCGTTTGCGTGGAAGCTGCTTCTTGGGGTCGTCAGGCCCAGAGCAGTGAGGGATGTCAATGTTGCTGCGGCTGAGATGGCGGCTTCCTTCGAGGGATGGCGAGGAAGAAGAGACACTGTTTATGACGATACCAGGAGAAAGAAGTTCTGTGTCCTGAGAGAGAGGGATGAAAGAGGATACTGTCAAATGTGTGATTGAAATTATTCCCACAAGTCTTTAGTTTTTTTGGAATGACTTAGGTGTTTGTAATAGCCTTATAGTTTTATGGATAGCACTCTCAAACTGTAGGTTAGTTTGTCAGGACTATACTCACTATAATTTGGCAACTATCAGGTGAATGGTAATAAAAATTTGCACCAACATTCATAGTCTTGAGATGCCTCAGAAAAAGAAATATCCAGAGTCTTTGTCTAGCATAAATGAGACCAGCAGAAAAACATGTTACCATAGTGAGCTGCACCTGCAATGTGAAGCCCATTTATTTTTAAATTGCTGATTGTTTATGTTTTAAAAAATTAAGGATGGTTTAGCTTTTACAGTTACAAGATCATTGCACTTGAAAGACAACTACAAGATTTTGCTTTAACTTCACCTGTACGGATATCAAAAATTGCCTCAGTACCCTTTAAATGTGACATAAGATCTGTGATAACTCTTTACCTTTTCTTCATGCAAGGCTGAAATTGTATGAATTGTAATTTTAACTGGGTTTATGACCAGAACATGCACCTCCAAAACTGATGTCATACATCACTGCATTACTTCCACTTTGTATGTATTACCTACTAATAGATGTAATACATTAGAATATGCTAAACTAGGCTGCTCTAGTTTACCATTCAGTTCCAGGCACCGCTGTGCCACACTGTGTATTGTCTTGCCATGCAGACCCACTAGCATGGCTTCAGAGTCTTGTTACATCTAATGTACATATTTTCTTCATATATTTCCCCCCAAGGGTCACATTTAGCACACTGTACTGCATTTGACAACATATCGCTTACAGTAAAAACAGAATAAGTCACACCATTGCGCACTCATGGACATACACAAATGAAAATTGTCAGACAAGTTCATATAAAGCAAGGATGGAGTTGAATGCAAGAATGCAATGCATTGAACATGTTGGCTAGTTTTCCACGTATTTTAGCATAGCTAAACACAGTTTCTGGTATCAACAATGGACTGTATATAAAAGATGGATGTAGCCACTGTTACATTACATTGTCTTTAGCTAAGCATTTTAGCCATCGGCATCTGAGCTACTGAACCTAAAAATAACTAAGAAGGAGTGAAGCTGACCGATAAACCGAGAGACACTGAACAGTCCTTCTTGACACCAGTGGGGACCATAATATACATCGGCAGTTTTTGTTTTTTTAAGACTTTTTAAGACTTCAGCATTAGTTTCCTTTTTTAGACCCAGAAGCTACATCCATCTTTTATATACGGTCTACGGTATCAACAGCTTGGTATGTCATCAGAGAATTTAAGTTGATACCTGGACACTAATGGCACTGCCCCGTCTGCTGCTGTTTTGGCTTTCTGATACCGTCACAGAACTGCTGCACAGCGCATCAAAGCCCAGAATACCCCCAACACAGTCCCCAATAACACACACCTGTATTATAAAGCAAAGCACAAAAACATGAGTATGCACACTAAATCAGCGTTATCTGTACAAGCAGTGCCAATCCAAAAAAACAGAAACCCAACCTGGCCATTAAAAGAAGCTCCTTCCAAAGATCTGATGAAGTCGCTGTACACCTGATTGGCTCGTAAGATGACGGTTGCCACGGCATCTTGGTACTGTGGTGCAGAAGTAGCCAGAAGAGGAAGCGCAGCCAGCGGAATGTGGTCCTGACTGCTGGATAGACAGCTCTCATCGTAGCTGTAGGGGCTAAGACTGCAGAGCAGAGAGAAGTGGCTTTATGTCTATAATCAGCTTGCACGTGTATGACAGCATGTTATTAAAATGCTGCTTGCTCACTTGGACACAAGCGAGAATGCTTCGACACACACAGCAGGGCAGGGTACCATTCGAATGGCAATGCGGCCCAGTGCTGAAGGGTAATGGACCCTCATCACAGCCTCAAAAGCTCCACTTAGCGTGTTTACATCTCCCTGTTTGCTGTTCTGTTCTCCTTCAAGAAAAGCAAAGGCTCATTATTAATCATTGCCATGAAACACAATCATAAGGCCTTGCACATTTGTTTGAAAATTAAAAGACTTACTGTACTGCATAAATGAACATCTCCTATACCGATTGTGTTACTGGTGGGGGCTCGCTCATTTAAATAAATATACATATAACATATATAACACTTTCCTAGTCTTAGCTAATCATAACTAGCCACTATAATTTTGTTTTAATTCACTTTTCACATGTTGTTTGTTTTAACTATTTGACCTAGCTAAAAACGAACTGCTTTTCATTAGTTAGTTGTTTTTGTTTTCTTTAAAATTACATATTTTATAGTCTAAAATTATTTCCTGTAAATATCCTGGTAGATAATTGTTGTTATTTTTTCTATGACTGTATGAAATGTATCTAGCCATTAATGTCTTTGTGCTTAGATTATTTCATTTGAAAACTTTATAAGGCTTTAAGAGATCCTATCACCTGGTATTTAGTATGAAAAAAAAATCATTTTTCAATCTTTTCTATCCTTGATCAAATTTAATAATGGTTGAATTTTTTTGATAATAAATTAATTTCCTTTTTTCTTCTAATTATTATTATATTGATGTAAATGATATTTTTATCACAGAAAAATGAAAACTTAACTATGCTAATTTTAGCTTTAAGAATGTATTCTTATTATTTTCACTCTTGTACTAAACAATCAGTTAATCCAAAAATAGTCTATAATGTAATCTATAATGAACTTAGTAGTTAGTTGGATTGTGGGAAGAATTTTGAAGGTTTGACTGTACCAGAGCCAGTGTCCAGTATGTTGCCTCCATGCAGGACCAAAATGAGGACATGAATTTTGGAAGGCTGTACACACTGCTGAGATGAACAATCCTGCAGGTAAGAGAAACAGGAAAAAAGCAGGAAAATAAAGGTGGGCTGATAGGGATAGAGGCAAAAGGGAGTAAAGGAAAACACTGCAAGCAGTACTTAAAAGGACTTAAATGAGCTATGAGTTCAAAATAATCAAATAAAGTCTAAACACTTTGCTCTAGAGAAGACCAGTGGTGAGCTAGCTACATTTACATTTCATTTTGAAGAGAAAAAAGAAACCCTAACCAGGTTTTCCCCTTTTAAGGACACAACACTGGACAAGAGGAGGAAAAATCTTAAACGTCACTCCTGAAGTTAAATTCTAGGGTCAGGTTTTATTTTGGATTCTAGTTTCACTTCACTGGCGTTATAATGTAGAAGGAACAGTACCATCTACAAGCCCTTTAATTATAGGTGTCGGTGTAAGAAAGACAGGAATTAAATGCAAGAACACTGAAAAAAATGGCACCTCTATCTGTGTCTCCACATTGACGGCATACTCCCCGACTGACTCCTGGTACAAGGTTTCTGTGAAAACAAATTATGGACTTCATCACTGATGACAGAAGAGATGGCCTAAACTATAAATTCTGAGTCCTGTAGTCCTCAGGATACACTGGGCTTCATTTACAAACAGAGTAAACTGTGGCACTGTTCACTCTGCGGGGTGAGAAAAATGAGAAAAATAAATACATAAAACATGATGGCAATGGTCGAGGGATTCAAAATGTTTGTAGCCCACCAACCAGTGGGTGATGTCATGGTGACTATGTCCATCTTCGATATACAGTCTGAGTTCACAAAAAGTGCATAGACATAAATCTTAAACTGTGTGTGTCCATAAGCTTTCCGTTTGGATGTTTGCCCAGTAATTGCCGTCAGTCTGATGTAACTGCTGTCATGCTGGTCACGTAGGCCTTGTCTTCCTTCTTTTTTCTGGTCTTTTTTTCTTTTTCTTCCTTCTTTTTTTCCTAGTTTTCTTGGCATGGATTTAAATGTCAAACCTTTCTTATTCTTAAGTGACCCACAGTCCCTATCTCAGGGGGAAAACATCCAACTCCTGGTTATTACAGCCCCTTTGTCACTTCACAGGAAACACTTCTGTGCCTCATCCACATGGAACACTAATGTTTCAGTTCTTCACTTTTGAAATCTTTTTGATTTGTGCTTTAGTAGGCATGCTTCTCATTGAGAATAACACCTTTCAATACAAGATAATTTTCCTTAATGCACACAAGATGATAAGAACAAAATTGGTAGGTGCATCTCTTTCAGGACTTTATGTATATCAGTAAATGAAGCCCAGTGTTTTCTTGTTTTGTTTTGGTACACAAAAGCATAAGATTAAGAGTGAGGCAGTCACTTACCTTGTCCTTCATCCACTTCTATTGTTTCTATTTTGTCCATCAGATCATTTGAGCTCCACTTGGTGATTTCCTTGGAAAACATGTCTTCATTATCAGAAAAGTCCTCTGCAAGATACACAGAGGGATTTTAATATAATGGAGACACTTCACTGATCTGATCAAAGCAGTCAGCCTCATAACACAGATTAAATAACCTAAATTACATCAAAGGTGACTCCTGTTTATGCACTCTTTGAAAAATCAGTCTGTCTATTATGGTTCTCTAAAGGCTGGTTCCCCTGAAACCTCAAACCTCCTCAAAGTCTCCAGAGGTCTTTTTTAAAGATGTGCTTGCAAAGTCCTCTTTCAAAGGTCATTGTTATTCCATCACACCCAGTACTGAGAAAAATGTAGGCACTTTTGTTTGCATTCACATTCACTAGGCAGGACCTTCAGACAGGCATGTGAAGGTTTCTGAATTTACCCCCTAACCCTCCAGGTTTATGGGTACGGTTAGGGATGGAATTGATTTTAGCAACATGGTAAATACACAAGTTTTTCCAGAAACTAGAAGGCGATCGATCTAATGAAGTCTAACACATTCATTTGAGAATTACAATTTTTCTCATAAAAAATGTGTTTGGATACTCCAGAAACACAAAAACAGGTGTACCTAATAAAGTGACCGTGTATATGGCATTAGTGCGCAGTAACAAGCTGTTGGCACAAATTATTATACCTTTTTCTCAGAAATCACACATTGCTAATAAATTCATTCTAAAAACTAATATAATAAGCAAGTTAAGACATTTAAAAATTTATTTGTGAGACTCTGTCTGGCAGAATAATTTCTCTGGCTTCAACTTTAATAACATTCATTAATTAACATTTCAGCATTCATTCTTAAGGATAAATACCCACAGGGATAAACGAGAACATTAAAAGAAGCAAGCAGGATTAACAACCTTGAGTTTCTCCATTGTTAATATTTATCATCCCAAAGACACACAGATATGAAAACACATCAATTCATCTTTCAAGATAATGTCCAAATACTAAATTGAATCTGTGGGAACTGCTGAAATGCAAAAATCTTTCTTGTGCATGGGTACAATACTGAATAAATTCATTGGCTGTTTATAATGTGTTTTATTCTGCTGATCTTTACCATGAGCATCAAAGAACTCATCATCTGTGCTGTCCTCAGAGTCCCGGGCAATGCTCTGCATCCTCCACTCTGAAATGCTCTGATGAGATGGACTTCCTGTACAAACAAAGATTAACATTGGTGTATTACAGCGTTACCTAAAATTATGGCATGACCAATATTTTAAATAAGTACTTGCACTCATGTCAACAGTCACACTGTAATTCAAGGTATATCAATACAAATATTGTACCACAGACTGTGGTAAAAGCCAGTGAAACACACAAAAATCAGAAGGACATCCTCACCTCCTCGCTTTGATGACCTATTGGAGGATCTAGAGGATGTTGACCATTGTTTTGTGAGCTCCCCTCTTGTCTCAAGTGAATCTCCAAGCTTCCCTCCTGCTCCTTCTGCCTCTGCAGTCGAGCCCACTGTCTCTGCTCCCTGCTCCTGCTCTTGGCTAATGAAGGAGTTGTTGGCTTCTGTTCCCCCTCCATCATTCAGGCTGTATTGGGCCATCTTCTTTGCTAAGGCCAGCTGGGTCTCCAGCTCCAGCTGCCTGATGTCCTCGATAGTCAGGCCATACCACTCATCCTGCCAGCACCACGCCTGCCGGTGGGCTCGAACCATGACTTTACGAAGGCCTGCAGGAACAGCAACCAAAATTTAGCGCTAATGAATTATTTTAAGGGCTCAAATCTACAAAAGTGGATTAGCTTAATATCCGTATCATTATAAATCCAATTTACTTTCTTCAGGTATTTACGATTCTCTGTCAGCTATTTGTTAGAGGTTTGTGTTGTGTCTTCATCTTGATTTAGTTGATTTTTTTTTTTACTGCTTTTTTGAAATATAAGTGATCTTTACTCTTTTTTTTTGGAAAGAGAGCAGTGATGGTGAACAAGAACAGTTAGGTGATGACTGTATAATTAACCAGTCAGTTGAAACTCACCATAAAGTGTTTTATCGCCACTCATATCATTATGACAGTCACGTTTTTCAATTTATACATGTGCATAAATTTAAAAACTCACCAGCCATATCTTTTTAAACTGTGCCTAACAGTTGTTTGAGTTGCATAATATGCTTAACTTTCTTCATCCTTATTTTGAGTGTGTATACATGGAGTTAAATTGCTTTTGACAGACCAATCCTGGCCTCTGGTTTTTTTTTCAGTTTTCATTTATATAAACAGAAGTCAGGATTGGTGTGTCAAAAGCAATTTAACTCCATGTATACACACTCAGAATAAGGATGAAAAAAGTTGAGCATATTATGCAACTCAAACACCTGTTAGGCACAGTTTAAAAAGGCCATGTGTCTTGGAGCTGGTGTGTGATAGTATTCATGAATCAGGGGAGATGCAGATGAAGACCCTGTGAATATTTTAGGGCGGAAGCCCAGTAAACAAGTGCAGATAACATTAGCATAAACATAACGTTCAGTGAAAGGCTGAAACGGGAGAGTCACAGAGGAAAATCACATTTTGTGATTGAAGATGTGTTGATTGGACCACTGAGTGAGAATATCATGAAGATAGAGCAGCCGCTGCTTCGCTAGTCTGGAAGTAAAATGCTGTGAGGCAGCATCCTGAGGGCCGTGAAAGTGTATAAACAGTCTTAGATCACAGCAATAAAACAGAAACACACCAACACAGGCAGGAAATTAATCCAGCCTGCTCTGTTATCTCGAGAAGCCAGTAACCTCTCTCTGCTCCTGCCTCTCTGACACTTTCTACACCAGGTATCGTTTGCATTTTTATTAGTTTTTCTTCGACACTTCCTTCTATTTTAACTTGGTTCATTCACATATATGCTTTTACTATTTCTTTTCCATATGGGAAGTGTTTGTTGTTTTGCTCTCTCTCTCTCTTGCCTGTCTGCCTGGGCGGGGCTCAGATTGGGCTCCCGCCCTTGGCCTACGCACCTGCAGCTGATCACCGGTGATTTGCAGTTGATCTCTGGTTCTTCTTAAGGCAGGGGCTCTGAGCTACTTGTCGCTGGAATATTGAGTAACTCTCGTTAGTATTGCCCGTCTCTATAGTGATTCTGTTGTTCCCGTGCTTGCCTTGGCTTAATCCTCATCTCTGTAAATAGGTTTATCTGGATCTGCCCTCATTCGTGACCCCTGGACCCCGTGCGTGAGAGTGGAGCTGCTTGTGTGGAGATTGTGTGGACAAGGAGTGGAGCGAGTATGAAGGCGTGTGTTTCCCTAACCTGTTGACCCCCGGGACCCTGGTGTTTCCCCCCCCTTCACGTATATATAGCGCACCAGTGTGATTAATAAAGAACTGTTTGAAGCGTGCTTTCTCAGTCTGCGCCTGAGTCCATTCCACCGCCGTGACACAGACTACATTTTGTTTTTGACTTTCTGACTTGTGTTGCTGTGAGGCTTGTCTTTTGTGTCAGCTCTTCTGCGTCCTCCTCACGTGATTAGCTGCATACTGTGTATATCTAAGTGCCTGGTCTGTGTGTATTTCTGTTAGGTTGAAATTGTTAAATGTTGTCATTGTGTTACTTAAATTTGTAAATCGTGGTTCAAACTGTATGATTAAAGACATTTATTATAGGGACACATCCTATGTGAGGGTTCTGTTTTCTTATTTAGTAAACTTCCTGCCTTTATGACCCTTTTGGTGAGCAGGAGGTCACACAAACACAGACACACACACTCACATGCACATGAATACACATACACAGACGCACTTACATACACATACACACTCAATGCCTTAGGGTTTATGATGCACCATAGGCGGGTTTTACAATGGGTGTTTGTGTAAACTGTGTGTCACAGAAATAAAAGGCTGCTGTGGGGTGATGGTTCTTCAAAGTGGTCTGACACCGAGGGCAGAAGGGCTGCTCTGAGATCCTTCCCTTGCTATAGCATGTGAAAAACCGGTTAAGCTGTTCATCTTGCTTCGTTAACGGGAATAAGTCTCTAAACCAGCGGGCCTGTGGAAGCGCAGACCCAGCAATTTCCTTTTCCTCTATCAGATTACCTTAATAGGTCTGTGAAGTCTATGAGGTCTATACACAGCCCAACAGAGCTCGGCTTTCTTTGTGCTAGCTGGGTTAAAAGAAACCCTCAAAACTCTGTCAGAGATAATATGTCTCACAAGTAATTGGTGTATCACACCAGCGGTCATCACTTTCTTTCCTAAACCAGGCTTTTTGCTTCATATTCTGTGCATGCTCACATAAAAGGGACATTTCACGAGTCATATAACTCCTCTTCCACACAAAATGATCTCCTTTATCATGTCACCTGCCCCAGTCAGAGATGTTAATAAAGGAAAATAATCCAACGGTGACATAAAAAGACTATAAAAAACATAGCAGTAAAACGCTAAATTAACTCAAGTATAACTCAGGTTTATTATTTTAACATTGAGTAAATTTTTGATCCTGCTGTTTATTCTGAGAGCTGAATACTTTAAATGTCAAAGTTTACTGTCTCATAGTCTAATGAAGGAGAAGTGGAAATTGTTTTAGTTTGTCAGCAAATCAAAGTGAAAGTAATTTTATTGATTGAACAGGTGTTCCCGGCCTGTGTTCTGTGTTCTAGTAGCTGCAATTTCAGCAGTGTGAAAGCAACTTGGAGCAGACTAGAATTAAGTTTATTACAATAAAGACATTTATGCTTTTTCTGCATCAACAACTAACTACGTGCAAATTCTAGAGATATTACAATGCACAGTTTGTACTGCTCTTTACCGATGGTTTCATTTGCAATGTTAGTAAAGCTTAAGAACTTGCACATATAAAACATAGTCACCCAGCACTCGAAAGATGCTCTAAATAAAAAATTTATAGATTTGATTTAGTTAAAAGATTTAATAAAAATAAAGATAAATTACCATGATGATTTAGCCAGGTAAAAAACAGCCATTGAAAACTTAGATTATAAACTCGACATATCTTGCCAACCTAGCCAGAATCCTCTGGTTTGTTATGCAATTTGTTATATGAATAGATTAACTACCTATGTACCAAATCTTGAATTAACAAATAAAATTGGAATTTTTATCTGTTCTTCCAAGTTGTGCATTTCAGTCCTCTTTAGGATGTCACAGTTTGCAGGATTATTGGACACTGGGATTAAATATTGATATAGTCATAGTTTTTGCTAATCTTTAAGGATCTTTAGGGATTTTTTTGTTTTTATTTTAGCTTCTACAGTTATCTTAGACTTTGGTTTTTCCTTGTTTTTCAGTAAAATATATGTCTGTAGGTTGTAAGATCTGAACCACATAAAAACATGCATACACGCAAGCCATACCTACCCACATCATGAATGAAGCGTTCAATCTTAGACTGCATGCCCCAGTATCTGAACTCTACTTTGCACAGCTTGTAGGCACACATGACAGAACTCTGACCCAGGTTCTGGCCAATTTCCTCAATCCAGTCCTCTGACAATGGACCCCGTTTAGTCTTGACTGACTGATACAGCTTAGGGTCTTCTTCCACGAGGTACTCATGAGGAGGTATGTAGTCCTTGACGATGTCTATGGGGTCTACAAGGGAAACAAAGACATAATGAATTGCTAAACTGAGGCAGATTCAAGCAGCAGGTATATCTCAATGTCCTCACTCACCTCAAGAAAAGAATGTGATTTTATGTGTGTGTCTTTTATGTAATCAGTCCCTGCCGGGATCGTGTCTGGAGCTGACTGCACATTTTCCCTGCACCCCAGTGAATTTTAGTATGCGGAGGCTCAACACAAGCTCTTACACTCCACAGCCTACATCCCCTCTGCACCACACTGTCAGCGCTTTCATTGCAAATAACTCTGTGTAAATTCGATTTCTGATCCTGCTTATGAGGAGACGACGACCAGGCAGTTGATCCCAGAGGCACAATTTTAGCGTAATGGTGCAGAGAGAGTGAGTTTTTAAGTGTGCATGACGATAAACTTACCAATAGTCCTCTGTCTTTTCTCAGCAGAGGACATATTGAAGACATCCACTTGATTTCCAGTATCTGGTTTATAATAAGTCTCAATGTCTATAGAAAATTTCTCAACAAAGGGACAGGTATACCTGAGGAAAGAAAAAGAAATTGTTGCTTTGGATGGAAAAGCAATATGAGCAGCTGGGTCTCCAGAAGTAGAGCCAGTTATCTACAAGATGGGGGGTTGATGGCTCAATCCCTCTAGGGGAACTATGCTCCCCTAGTTTACATATCAAAGTACCCTTGGGCAAGATGCCAAGCCCTGAATTGACCTCGAAGTATCCATCAGAGTGTGAGTGTCAGTGTGTAAGAATGTTTATTAAGTGCTTAGATGCAGAAAAGAGCAGTTTATATAAAGCAGTATTAGTAGTGCAAGTGTATATGACAGGGTGAATGAGCCTTGTAGTAAGAAAACGCTTTGAGCACAAAATCACTGCTATTGAAAGTAATAATCCTAATTTCCAATTCAAAATCATATGAAGTGTGAATGCAGTGTCACAATCTAGGATTGTCAGAGGCAATAGTGAAAAGCTGCTCTGGCATCTTCACATGGTTGAAACAATACAAGAACCAGTGTTTGGGTTCTTTGCTAGAAGTCATTGGTGGTATCATGCATCAGTTAACAGGATCCTTCATCCCAAGTCAATATTAGATCTCATGACCCCCCCAATGATGCATAGGCAATTAGATATCTTCAAGTGAAAGTCAACAGAAACCAAGCACAACAATTCACTGAATATCCCATGCTCAGCATCCTTTCAAGAAATTGCAATGGGCTGCATTTTAACAGCCTGGTCCTAAGACAGGGACCTCCAGGGTGGAAATGGTTAAAGTTACTAGTAAGTGCATCTCCTTTAAAATGTAGCTGAGCATCAGCAGAAAAAAGCCTAAGCTGAAGTAAAGTGCAGCACCTGTAAGCAGAGCTCATGTAAAATGCTGCAAATCAGCATCAGTTGTAAAGTAAAAAGTGGTGCCAATAAAATTCCCTTAACACTTGATGGGCTTAGAAAGCAGTTGGAGTGGCTGGTTCCAACACATTAAGTCATCAGGATGATATTCAAAGTTGGCAGCAAATGAATATGTGGTCATGCAGCTGAAGTTGTTGTATTTAAAAAAAGAAAAAAGAAAGAAAGAACACACTGCCATCAGCAGATAATAATAAAAAGAACATAATAAAAACCATTAACAACATTTTATCTCTGAAAGGTCAGCATTTCTACTTCAGATAAAGCCAACCTCATGTAACGTACGCTTAAGCATTAAGAGGGAGCAACTGTTTTACAAGAGGCACAGGGGGACAGTTTTATAATGTGTTCCCCGGAAATAAAATTCCATCACTTTATTTTCTGTATCTGTGGTTCCCTCACCGGGTTCGCGTATAGGGGTAAGCATTCCAAGACTCCTCTTCCACTCGAAGGGCAGCTTGAGGCAGAATGGCACAAAACCAGGATGGGATGTGTTTGCCGATGTGATAGACCTTGTGAGTGTACTGACCCGAGCCGCCAGGGCCGTCCTCATATGGTTTGTTCTCCAGGATCTCCACCCCACTGCCCTCACCACAACTTTCTTGTCTGCTCTTTTTCTGCAAGACAGCAAATATGAAGAGGTCTAAAGTATAAAGCTGTTGAGATTAATCAAGATGCAAATAGTATGTGTAAAAGAACTCAATATACAGCCACAATGGTGTTCACGTTAGAGTATTACATTAGTATCACATACACACATTATATTAATAATAATAATGTAGCATCAGCTAATTTTACATGTATTTGCATGTTATACTCTACTGGACTCCAAAAGTGTTGGATCACATCAAAACCCAAGATATTTATTCGTAAGCCTGGAATTCAGAAATATTTCAAAACACAAGAGATGAAATGCAAAAAGAACTTCAGACAATTAAAACAAATTTTCTCAGTGACCATAATTCCTTAGTACAAAAGGTCAGATTCCCTCAAGTTATATTTTTGTCTATATAAGCAGTGTTCAGACGAAGCTCAGGTAGAAGCTCACATACAGTTAGGTCCATAATTTGTTGAACAAGGACACAGTTTGTCTCTGTACACCACCTCAGCAGTATCCCTCAGTATTGGTCTCTGAGGAGATGTAGTATCTTTAAAGCATTTTTCAGTCGGAGGAAAAATGTCCAACACTGGAAATATACTGCAGTAACAGAAAGAGATTTCCACCTGCCTGAACATGTTGAACATTATGACAATGGCTATCATCACTGACATTACAAGAATTCATTTGTTACACGTTACAGTTCTGTTTCCTCTTTATTAGGGGTGTGATTGTACACTTTAGATCCTGCCTCCAACATACAAAACCTACATGACTTCACTTCCACTTTCCCATGCTGTAAAACTCAGTGCTGACATCATTGCTGTAGTCCAATCATCTTTCTGCCTCCCTTCACTCTGAGTGAACTCAGCCCACCTTCAATCAGTCTCCTCTCTGCATATTTTAAATCACACCACTCATCTTTCATTCTCCCTTGCAGACTCCTTCGTGCAACCCAACTCCCCCTCATCTCTGCCTTACGCAAGTCACTTCATCCAAGTTTTCAACGTATCCTGTCCTAATTCATTTTATTCTACTGTGATGGGTCATCGGCATCTAATCGCCAAATACCATAACTTAAAATCATCATGAATTATGTTTAGTTCTCTCTATTGATCTCTCCTCAGTGAAATAAGACATATCCCAAAAGAGCACCTTTGTTAACTAAGAGTGGTGTAATTTCAAAAAACACTTTTTTCTTTGTTAATTTCAATGAATTGCTTAAATAAGCATGTCTCTTTGAAAATAACTCTGTTCCTTCATATTCTATAAAGAGCCAAGAGTGTTTCTTATCATTAATATCCTGTCAACTATGGTATGTTTTTAGGGGACTAATAAATTGAAATAACAGATCACTTGCAAAAATCACAAGCTTTTTATACTGCTGAATGATAAAGGTCCTTAAATTGTACTTTTCCTGGCTCAGACCTTGGTTTTGATTAATGAACAACTTGCAGCTGGGACTGGTGTCCACACACTCGCTTCTTTCTATAAACTTCCAATTAAACCCCTGCTAGCCTTACGCAGCACTCCTGTCTGTCACTGCCCAACCTTGTGATTACATCACAGAGCTGGATGATGCAGCAGAGCCGATGTGATGAGGTGGAAAGAAAAAGCTGCCACATGGAACAAGAAAGGTCTGCCTCTCCATTATATAAGACACCAGTTTTCTCTACTTCGCCCACCCTATTCCTCTACTGTTCAGAGTTTTCCATCTTCTTTGGCTTTGAACAACACCTCTGTTTGATGTTACACTGTGAAGAGTTATGTTAACAGCAGATTCAGTTTGCGTATTTTGAGTAGATCTTGCTTTAAATGTAGATCTTGCTTTGACAACTGTACCCTCAAACACACAATAATAACATGGAGTGAACCACCACTCACAACCACTAGCACTTTATATAGCCTCTGTAGAAACTATCTACACCCTCACTTATCTTAACTGCACTACTGTATAGCTCTGTGTAAATAATCATTCTGTACATTCAATAATCTTTAATCCTACAACTGTTTACAACTTGCATAGTTCCCATTTCTGTATAGCTGTATATCTCAGATTTCTGTAAAGTTATTTATTTCATATTCTGTATAGTTTTTCATATTTATATCCTGTTCATAGCCTGTACATAGCTTGTACTCACTACAGCCTTTACATACTTAGTTATAGAATATTCACAAAATACTTCATACCGTGTACATTATAACATACCATAATAGACCCATTTCTGTAGTATACTTACATATCTATACTATTGCTAATATATATTGTAATATATCTATATCACTAAAGCACTTCTGGATGGATGCAAACTGCATTTCGTTGCCCTGTACCTGTGCATGTGCAATGACAATAAAGTTGAATTCTAATTCTAATTCTAATTCTAAATGCAGCATTTTGCAGATTTTCCTCAGGTTAGGAGGATCGTCCTCATTAGGAGGAACTTTCAGGTGTTTTATGAAGTCTCAGTCCTAGCTCATCACTGAAAGAGGAAAGCTGAGTCAGCGTGATCTAGTCTGAGCAGATTATCTGATCTGATGCCTTATGCTAAATGGGAATATTAGTAGGATAGTCTTCGACCTGTTCTACATGATAATAGGTTTGTAGAAAATATTGTTTTAGGGCAAAAAACTGAATAAAAACTCATTGGTTACCGGGTGATTGCACAAATTTCTTTTCACATTTAGTGAATGATTTCAAGTAGCTGCAAAAAGCAACTGGTCACCCAGAAGTTGAGCGTGCAACACAACACCTCTGGCCAACTACTTTTGATCAAAAGGCGATTTCACAGGTCACTTAGTGGGAAGCAAAATATTTGTTACCAAAAAAGTCAGTTCATTACAAATTAAGGTTTGGATTTCAATGGAATATCCTGAAATACCAACCAAAACAATACATTTCTGATTGTATTTTTTATGCATCTATATAATAACAATCTGAGAAGTGCATAACAGTAGATCATACAGTAATATTTTGAATCTGTTATCAACCTCGCATCTTTTCATCTAATCCAGACTAAATGAGACCGACATAGGGGAGGTAAAATCAGCATGGAACTTCCCCCAATAAAAGGCAGCAGATGGTTCAGCCACATAGATCCCACCGAGTGTTGTATTAATCCTGCTGCTCTACAGACAACTGGTCTGGAATTACAGTTTCCGTTTATAAAGAGCCTACATCTCCTTACAAGGCTCTCCTTTTGTACACATCCACCTTTATGTGGCTTATTAAATATATGAAAACCCTCCAGGATCTGATAATAGAAGCTCAGTTACCTACATAAGAATCACAATCTACCAGGGTGGAAAGTGAACTTAAAATTTTAACATCTGCCAGCCACTGGCAGGCAAATGTTCACATTCACACAGTAAAGGATTGTTTGGTGTTTAAAACCACTTTTATATTTTACCATCCTTTGGCTTGTGACTGGAGCTAATTTCCAAAATGACTGCGGTGATTACATGAGAGATATCCATATTACTGGATTTAGTTCTTTAGTTTTTCAGAGGGTCAGCGACTTTCATATAATTAACCTGCCATGCTTGGTTGAATATTTCAGACATAATAACACTGGTACAAAACTGTAGCTGGGCAGACTCATATTGGAACAGAAAACATTGAAATTGGAGTCTTGAAAAAAAAAGAAAAAGAAAACTTATTACCGCCAGCTAATAACTATCCAAGTCAGCACTGACACCATGGGTGCGGTGCATACATGTGTCATATAAACAATAGTCTATAATACTGGAAAATAAAAGAACTTTCCAAAAGAATATGTGATAATATGTTTATCTTTTTATACGTCTATATGTCTATAAGGACACTGATAAAGGGCATGGCTGCTATAATACACAGGTGTGCCAACAAAGGGAACAACAGTATCGCTGATTTGTATCTGCTAAGCCTGATCTTTGCTAATTCTAGTCACTGAAATGGACATGTTGATGTGTTTGTGGCGATAGCACCTTTTGGAGCACAAATAGAATGTTTTGCTGTGTGGCACAGCTAGAAAAAGACAGCTGCAGTTCAGTTTTGTTGAGTGAAATTCGATGATTTTATTTGTCTGATACTAATGCACCATTACCAATCTGTTTCTCTTTGTTGGACCCACATAGATTGTGGATGGAGATGCAACCCAAACTTCCTGCTAAGTCATCTGCTCTTTTGCTCTCTGTTATCTGGCTCCAAAAGTTAACATGGCAACAGTAAGAGCACTGATATTTCAAAATTCAGATTCCAGAAACCCCTGGTTGATGGTTATGTCCATGTTTGTTGTATGTGTATGACACCACAGTGTCAACCTGGGGCTTTTAGGGCAATATGAAGATCTGGGGTCTGAGGGTTGCCCATGCACTTTTAGCGGCAGTGATATACTAGTGATGTAAGAGTTAATTATCAGGTGTTACATTGTTCATGCAAACTGGGTATTTCTGGCTACAGCTTTTGCATCTTCCTACTCATTCAGAATGAATGACTGCACTGGCATTGTCTTGTGATTTTTGAAACATGATTGAAAAATGATTGAAAAGGCATTTCATTCCTGCCACTGTAATATGCTGCAGGTCGAGGAACGCACAACATGAATACAAATCATCATGATCATTACTAACGGCAAGAGTGGGGTGTTCAGGGTCAAGAAGGAGAGCTCAGATTGTAAAATGAGCTCTCTCTACTGAAGACTTTAGGGAGGTAATATCAGTACTGAAGGTCAGAGGAGGCAAACAGCTGGAAAATTGTAATAATCTAGCAGGTAATGTAATTTAGGTGAGGTGCTAAGAGCCTCAAATTACCATCCTTCTGTCTGCATACCTTCTGGGAAGTGAGCACACAGGATCTGTATTAATAACACTCATCTTCAATCCCAGAGCAGAAAAGAGGGACAGTGTAGAATATACAGGGTGCTCTGTGAATCTTTATTAACCCTTTAAGACCTACCATAGAACCAAGTCCGCCAGAGCTTATAGTATATTTTTACATGCTGTGGAGCCATTTTTTGGAGCATTTCAAGTTGCTATACATCA